TCCTGGCGAGACCTCAAATCATCTTTGTAATATCTATCAACTGGACGTGGATTCTAAAAGTACAATATACATTTATCGCTAGAAATCTAATCAAAAAGCATTTTAATGGCCAAACTATCCTACAATTTAGGATTTTACAGAGAGGGTTATTTGTGAATATACGACCCTCCGTAGCGTTTGCATTCAACGGGAGCACTAGAGGTCGAAAACGTTAAAACGTGATTTATAGGTCGTAATAAGCGCTTGAACAATCAACCTATTTGGTCGTATGAGTTGGAGGACTTGTTGCAGCAATCCTCAGGTGCACAATCGATTTCTATTGAGAGACAGGCTTGTGTATGGCTGAAGCTTGAAGGCTTTAACAAGGTAAAAGTGCTCAGTGTTATTCACCCTGTTTGCACCTCCTTCTGTTTACCATCTACCGTTACTGTGAGTATTAATACTTTCCTCATCACGTGGGTGGACTGACGTAAGACCAATCTCCACCCATTTATTTGCCGATGCTGCGATGGAAACACGTGTGTTAGTGGAATCAACATGTGCATTTTCATCAAACCAGTGAACAGTTTGTTCCTAATGGTAACGTCTTCACAGGCAAGGAAAGCCACTTCCAGAGACCAGATTGAATACTCCAGTTATACGGAGGGTAGTGTCATGCTCTTATTAAAGAATACAATAAACAAGGTTTGTATTCACAGTTTTATAGAGCTTCAGGACACATTTACTGTGCTATTCATAGTTTCCTCTACTATAGGAACCGTGTGATGCTGCAGCTATACCCAAAACATCATCTGAAGTTTGAAGAAAATGTCAATTTTTGTATCTTTAAATTATCAAAAGTTGAGTGATATTCTTCTCTCACAGATTAACACATACAGTCAATGTAAACACATTTACATCTAGATGTAAATACCTGGAATTAAAAGCTGAAATACTGACCTTTTGTCTCATATTCATCTTTTGATGTCAAACCTAATTGTTTTCAGTGTACAGCAAAAATAAAGCAATTGGCCAGTAGTTTTGGAGGGGATTGTATTCCTGGGGAGACCTGAAATTATCTCGTAATATCTATCAAACCATAGATCCTACACATCCACTGAACGTAGATTCTGAAGGTAAGGTGTTTACATTTCTCGCCAGAAATGTAAACAAAAAGCCTTATAATGGAGAAACTATCCCAAAATGCCAGATCATCAACTAAAATAAATCCAGTGTTTTTTGTTTTAACGCAGGGAATGTTGACGATCACGTGACATGGACACTGGCCATGAAAAATGAACAGGAAAATAATGTGACTATGTGAGAGGCGTTTTTGTGAAACTAATATGTTTTTCCCTGTGGACCACCTTAGCTATCACACATTTGTTGTTGTTGTCTGGGTTGGGCATACCTGTGTGTGTAATGAAAGCTGACTGTTATTAATGAAAGAAACACGAGTCCGGGCAGAGCGTCACAGGAAACAGTCTGACTGGTTTCCTCCCACATGAAGTCACCTTGGTGGCAGCATCAAAGGATGTCTGTAGTGCAGATGTCAGCTCTACCTCTCCTTCACATCTCAGGCTAATTGTTAAAAGCTGTTAGCGAGACATCGAGACATTGAGATCATCAATAATATCATTTTTGGTTTGTGTCACACTGTGTGAAAGGTTTTGATTTTGAAACCTCTGTGTTGGGTTAGTGCTCAACCACAAGGGAATATTTGTACGACATGTTTCCTGCATGATGAGGGAATATTTGGATCTAGTTCATCTGCACACTTCCTGCTTTGATCATGAACATAGATTAATATTCTGTTAGAATTGTTCCCCAATCATCACTAAAAAAGGACAACTTTAGTCACCAATTATCATCAAAGAAGCTTTTCAGTCATTTCGTGAAATGGACCTCAATCTAGCTGCGGCCCACGTGTTCTCTCAGAACATATAACAGTTTGCAACTCAATGACTATAACAACAGTGGTTGCCTAGCACCGCCACAACAGTGCAATGCTTTGCAGGAAATATTGGTTGGTGTGAGTAATAACCTACAGACGAAGGAACATGAATGCAGTTGGCCAGTGTTTTAAACACTTCCATGTGGTGCATTCTGGAGCCCCCTTCAAGCATTTAAGGAATACAGTATTCATGCAGAGATGGTTCTGTGGGGTAACATAAGTTACACAGCCTGATAATCAACTGCTGTTAAAGCTTACATTTAAACTTGTATTCACACAGATATGAGGGAGTATATTTTACAGCATACTGACCTCTGGGAACCAAGTCTGTTTTAGCTCACTGACAGAAAAATGCTGCTGCAGTCCTCCCTTTCTTTGGCCTGAACCTGAGCAGCAGAGTGCTGCTGATTGTTCCTTCCGCTTGACATTGTGTCGTTCACTTTATTCATTATAAAGCATTCCATACTATAAATACATTTTGTACTTTATTGCTTTTTGACGACACACAGTGCCACATAAGCATCGGATTAGGATTGTTTCTCTGTACACCTAAACAGGTACAGTTCAAACGGCAACGTTTTTATTCTTCTTTTGGCTATTACTATGTTCACCAGCCAGTTGCTAACTTCGTCTGCTTGCAGTTTGGTGCTGGCACCCCAGAGGGACCGGAAACAAGCTCAAAGATGCTAAAAGGTTTTGTTGAGTAGAAGGAAACTGCAGCAACCCCTCACATCACAGTCTTTTAAAGGTCACCTATTATGCAAAATCCACTTCTTCATGTCTCTTCTACATCAACTTATGTCCCCTCTGTGTAAAGACATTCTGAAAGTTTCAGGAACAAAGATTCTCTCTCTTTTTGTCCTGATCCATTTATATAAAAACCTGTCTGAAAATGAGCTGATCAGATTTTGGCCACTTTATGATGTCATGGCGATTCTTTGGCTTGTGTAACCATTAGCCAATCACCAACCAAGGGACCCCCCCCCCCCCCCACACCTTATCACCTGAATCTCCTCCTATACCTCATTCACACCAACGCAACTCCGGTTCAAGCTCCGTGCTAGAGCTTTTCAGGTTCAGAACCGGTTCTTCGGTTTAGCTCCGGCTCTTTTCACACCGCCCAGAGTCCAACTGGTGCTGCGTCATTGCGTCATCGTTTGCGTCATGACGTAACCGTGCTCCAGCTTCCTCTGTACGTCTTCGGAAGACCAGATTCCCAGTAGGTAGCTGGTCTCTTCAGTGGACCACTGCTGCTTGTTAAGTTTCTCCATCGTTGTGTACAAACTGGATAAAACGCAGGCTTTTTGTTGTTGTTCAGGAGTTGATCCCGCCCCTGCCCCCGCCTCGATGTAAGCGTGGCGTATGCGGTGCTTTTGCTCTAGCCGGACAATTTTTTGGTGCTTGAAACGAACCGGATTCCGGAGCTAAGAGGCTGCTCCGCTGGTTGGTTGGTGTGAATGAGGTACTAGAGCACCATTGTGTTCTTTTTAACCAAATCTCTCTCAGAGGGGCGTGGGGAGTGGCTCCTTATTTTCATCTAAAGTAACAGACAGAGAATCAGCACTTTTTGAAACAGGGGATTATGGGATGCTGCAATGATCTGTTTGGTGTTTCAGCCAATCACTTCAGAGACATGTTTTGTATATATCTGAGACCTATAATATATTGATAAAAAACAGTATAATAGGAGACCTTTAAAATATGATCATAAAGACATTTCAAGATGTTAACATGAATCAATTTCCTATTTACATATAAAACAGAGAAAGCCAACATGGCATTGTTCTCATATGTATTCACTTTCCTTTGAACTCTGGTTTGGATTCCTGAGATAAATGAGCTGTTAAGTGCTCTTTTGTGTTAAAGAGCTACTTGCTGTGTCTGTCTGCCGTTTGGTGCCAGCAGGTGGTCTACAGTGGGTCCATGGAGGAGGTCCAGGTGGTTGTGTGGGTCATATAACATCTTAGATCATGGGGACCATAAGTGTTGGGTTATTTTTGAATTAAAAAAAGTTCTGCAAATGTCAAAAACTGTGGGTGTGGTAGAGCATCAGAGTTTAACACAGAGAGCTACTCAGAGCCTCAAAAGGTGACACCATGCATGACGAGTCAGGATGAGAACAGGTTGGTTTGCCAGAGGATTTCTCTGTGGAAACAGCTGCCTGCTGCTGTTCTTAGAATGAACAGAAACACAAGATTTACAGACTTTAAAGCCATTCTCAAATCAATGTGCTTTAAGGGTCTAAAACGCTCCTTTGAGCTGAGGGGTCTGCAGGATTCAGCAAAGTACTCATAGGTGCTCACTACTAGGTTCATCACTGCGAGGACCATCTTTAACAAGTCCCTTGTATATATGATGTCTTATTTTGCATACTGAGCTGCTCTGACAACACATCAGCACCACATTTGAGAATGAATGCTGTAGTTTCAAAGTATCCTTCCTGTGGTCATTTTCCCTAGCTTGAACACTCTACATCTTTCAAACAAGGTTCATGTATAGCATGCAGTTTGGATGCTACACTCTCATAAACTCCTATGCTTATGAGATACATCTAAAAACAGAAAAGGAAATCTGTAACGTGTGGATTTGTCACACTACAAAAAACTACATTCATTGCACTTTGTCATCACTCTTCCTCTAATGCATTCACATGTTCAACCTTAGCCAGGACACTGCCTTACACATTCCTTTGTGAGATGTGTGTGTGTACATTTCTTTGATTTGGTGAGATATCTTTCCATCATGTTTGACACCATACTGTTTTACTTAACGTCTTTTTTTTAGCAATGTACATCCAAATAGCTGGAATGTTCGAAAAAGGACCCCAAAGACGCAGAGGGGGATACATGCAGAATGTAGGGAAAGGTAAGAAGAAAATCCTGCTACAGATTAGTGACATCATCCTACCCAGTGCTCACATCCAGACCAAACAGGGCTATGTGTCTGGTTTTCATTTACTTCTTTCTCCCTCCCGCTCACCCTCTCCTCTTCCCTCCTTCCTCTTTTTCTTTTTTCTCTTTAAGTGGGAGGAGGAAGAAAGAGGTGGCAGAACTCCAAAAGTTTGAAAGTTTGTCCCATCCCAGCCTTGATCTCAGCAGCACAGTTCCTCTGGTTTGCAGCCGGGAGAGTGTCTGTCTCTTTCTGTCTCTGACATTTCCTCCCTTCACTCAGGACCCTCTCTCTGCTCATCTCTTATCAGTGACCTTATCACAGCTTTGCTCAGCCACCTTCCTCTGGGAGCTGCTGGAAAAGCCAGCAAAGGGGAATTCTCCAGGAGGATAATGACCAAAAGTCCAGCTTGCAGTCATTTTATATAACTGATTTTCATTTTTCTTCAAAAACAAATACAGTGGAGTACAGCTTCAGCTCAGGGTAAGTTTTAAATATGTGATTTGCAAGATCATTCCTTTTGCAGAACAAGGTTCCGGCTTTCCTTTTCAGAAATGCATGCTTGCTTTATTTCTGTAAGGATTGACCTTGTTTGCACTCTTTGTTGAATAGAAATAGTTTATTGACCACAGCAAAGTTTCTAGTCATAACATGTAGCTCATAGTTGGTGTCATGCACTGAATCTTTGGCTTATAGGTCATAAATATCAGACAGCGTGCGTTTAGCAGCATTTCTGAACCCTATACTTTAGTGGTGAGGGTGCTGCAAGGGCAAGAGGTGAGCCACAATTAGGGGGGAAGCAGGAGACTTCCGCAATGTGATGTGACGCATGTGAGCAGAGCAGAGCGTATACTCTTTTTCTCTTCAGAAATCTGGACATCGTTCTCTTCTTCTGAAGGTCTTGGGTTGAGGAAAGCCTAATCTACTAAAAAAGGTTAAAAAAAAGTAGTTTAAATCTTTAATGTGCTACATCTAAAGTCCTGACTGTGATCCCAGATCAGTTTTAGAGATATGAGTAGTGTCAATGTATGATGCGCTTTCTATTGTAGAATGCAGATTTGTGCTTGGAAGCATGGCGTAATGCAACAGACAGCTGACAAAAAAGCTGTATTTTATGTGAAGAGACATTTAATTAATTATCTTTACATTTGAGCACTTTCTCATTATTATGAAATTATCGTTTGGTCCTTTCATTAAGTCTTATTAGGGAATCTCTTGAAAATGTTAAAGATGTCCACATCCACATGTGAGCTGTAAAGAGGAGCCGTTGGATTGTTACATGTTTCCACTGCAGCTGTAGCCTAAAACCACACCCTCGCTGAAACCAGTGCAGCGGTGGAAAAGTGTGAAGAGACTGTTTTCCACAATACGGGCCAGAAGAACCAGGAGAACCATGAGGAATGTTTCTTCCATTGGACAGAATGGGTGGGGCGGGGTTGGTGGTGGGCTGCACTGTTAAACCAACCAGGTGGAGCCATCAATCTTCCCCTACATCACTGTCCAAGCAGGCTCAGCGGAGTTCAGCTGTGGATTCACTGCATTGTGTGCATGTGGGATTTGACGCTTCCAGGTCACAGTATAATGAAATGACATTGGGATTAACTCTCATGAGCTCCCACCTTCACACAGTTTTGTGTTTGCATGTGGCCCGTTGCTGTGAGACAGAGAGGATCTTGGTAATGGTTCATAATCCAAACTTGGAAACTTGTGTGCGCTCCAGAAGTCGTTTGATTTGTTTGAAATATTTTCACATAATTTACTATCAGTGTTACGACAATGCGGCAGTTGGAAGCTAGTATCTGATATATTATTGGCAGAGCTGCACCGGGAGGATTCTTAAGAAGGATTTTTGGATAGAAATATATAAATCAGCATTAGTGTGTTTCATGACTACTGCACTCTCTTCAGCTGTGTTTTTTCTCCAGAATGCAGGCAGATGTCTGGAAGGTTGGAACCTTTTTCAGAAAGGTCTTATCTCAGTAAATACTGCTTCAATGTTCTTTATTTAGGAAACAACCGCCTATAATTGCAAGAGATATACGGGATGAGTTACCATTCACACTGTGATGCATTTTGTCATTTTAGAGTGTTGATTGGTGAAGGTGATATGACCCAAGTTGGCTAACGTGTATTATAGGGAATAGGTTTTGGAAATGAGTTCAAGAGCAGGACATTAAATCCTTGAACTGGGCCTGCAGGATTACAGTATCTTGGCCCTGGGGCTAGAACACACATCTGCTAGGTGTCAGACGGACTAATGCACTCCAGCTGTGTGGGACTGCCCACAGCCCCCCCCCCCCTCTTTAACTTAGTCATTGATCCTCCTCTCATCTGTGCCACACATGTCACGTCACATCGGTCAGTTGAAGCGCGGATTGGGTGTGCAGGCCCCCCCAGCCTAAGGTTTGATCCCCATGTGACTTACTTCAATGATTTCTCGACTTAACATTTGTTAAAGTTTGCAAAGAGATGTCATGCATAATAAAAACATGTATTTGGAATTGATTTATACATAATGGCCTATATAGCAGTTGTTGACATTATAATTGATATGTACAAGATTTCAGTCTGTAATAAAGTAGCTGCTGAAGTTGAGCCAATCAGACAGTATTACTGAGCAGAGCGTAATGTGTGATTTCACATTAGGCTTTTATGAAACAAATTCCAATTGCTTGATGTAAACTGTGCATTACAGTCATTTGCATGCGTAAGCTTGATTTGTAACATCATTCATAAATAATATCACAATAGAAAATAAATGAACAAACTAACCTCCCATAATCATGCAAAAGGGGACATTTAAAGTGGCTTAGCTAAACCAAATAGAAAACAAGGGGTAATTAGTATAAACAGAATACAAATAGACACTGACAAAACCCATTTTATATTTCTGCAAATGTGTACACCTGAATGCTACACACTGGTCATTTAAGCCAATGGCAGCACCACATTGTGCACATGGACATGTTAGGTGACTGAGCCACGCCTCATTTCCTATCCTAGCAGGTCTGCTCGCTGTAACTGGTGAAACACACACATAATGACACTGGTATCTGTCCTGGATGCTGATGGAATGTTGTGCCGCGCCACACTGTGAGCTAGTGTGAGTGTGTTTATGTATACGCATGTTTATGAGTGTGTGTGTGTTTGTGTGTACTGTATGTATGTGTGGTCTTTGCTATAAATGAGTGTGTGAGGTCCAGCTGCACACTGCTGTGCTCACGCAGAGTCTGTCTTGCAAACTGACAGCTGTAACTGTAAATAAAACCACTGAAGATGTTGTGTTATGTATACAGAGCAGTATGATGTCCTTACTGTATAACGTTCACTGCTCACTACTTAAACACATGTCACTTTGAGTGACTGGATTACACAAAAAGATTCAATGATGACTCAGCATAAAAAGGCACACATTTAGAAAAGACTGGTACAGTACTTGTTACTACTGTCAGTTTCATTCTTTTACAAACAAAAACCTTACCTAATAATTTCAAAGATATGGATTAAAGTTTGTAAGGATGGCAGTTCGGAATCGGTGCATAACAACATACAAAGTAGGCCCCTACCCCTCAGCGAGGAAAGATAACCTCAGATTTCCTCTCATCTTGGAATGAGTGTTGTCCACATTTGGTGCTTAGGCCCTATTTTGCACATTTTTGTAGCTTCCTCTTGGATGCTTGCTTACGGTCTGGCACCTGGTGACCATGTTTTTATAGAGGTTGTGGCCTAGAAACGTCTCCAACACAGCAACATTAGTAATCCAAGTACACACTTCTGGTGAGAGGGATTGTTTTTGTATGAGTCTATCCATTTATTTGTTTGGATAATCTACCTCACTCTGCCTTTCAGATGAAATTACTTTAGTGTTTTTTTGTACAACGTGTGAGTTTGTTCACACATGTTGTTTATTAACAATGGAATAATTAACTATTTCCATTTACCGCTACATTATTCTTCTACTCCACTACATTTCAGCGGTGTGTATTTCGTACTATTTATTCTACTACATTTATTTGAATACTCACAGTTACTAGTTACTTTGTACACATAATAACACATATACTGTATGCTGATATGATATAATGCCATACTGTACTACTGACCTACACAGTATGTACATTATCTTAAACTACTACACTGAAAGGCTCTTACCAAAACAGAATGATATAATAACCATGATAATATAATACTGTGAAAAGACACTTTCTGCATAACGAGTATTTTCATTGTTCATACCTGAAGTACATGTATGTGATAATACTTCAGTACTTTATATTATTCTGAAACGGGTCATTGTGTAGAATGAGTAGTTTAACTTTTTGTACTTTAAGTATATTTTGATGACATCTTTTTTTTTTACTTATACTGAAGTAGAGTTTTAAAATCACAACGTTTGCTTAGTGGAGTATTTTAAGACCATAGCATTTGTAAAAGATCTGAGTACTTCTTCCAACACTGGTGAAGACGTCTGATAAATCACAAACAGCTGACACAGCTAAAGAGACAGATGTTCAGGAGTTGGTGAAGATAAAAAAGGATGCCATAATATTGCTGTTCGGTAACATTTTGCCATAAGAACTTTAGAGTCCCAAATGGTAATAATAAATGATTGTGTCACATTATGTGTAAGTTCCATGCTGTCATTGTGTTGGCTGCTGGTATCAGAGAGAACAGGACTCCTCTGTGCTGCTGTGTTTTCCTCTGCGGCGCTGAGGGGAAGCCTTGGTGTTGACACTCTGGCCAGGCCTGGCACTCTCTGCAGTGGCTTTTGAGTGACCTGAAATCACATGACCATGAGTGGAGAACACAAACATCTGCTGCAGTGTCCAAGAGAGCTTACATTTCCTTGAAATAAAGGAACTTTTTTAGGTCTTCTGTCTGGATAGTGACCGCAATGGGGGACTGAAGGGATATCTCTGCAGCTTTTTTTACACTACAATATTCTCCAAGCACTTAACATGTTTGTCTTATGTGGAATCCTCACAATCTTCTCAGGCATAAAGTGAGCATGCATGTTACTGTTTGGTTCCTCCCAGTTTGGAGTTTATTTGGCATCTGCAAAGTGCTGCGTGCATAAGCAGCAGACGCAGCAAGTGTAAACACAGCGACTCCAACAAACTCAACGTCTGCTTTGTTGCATTAAATATGACAGCCATGTGTTTATAATTCATTACTGCTGTGGATTGCTTGGAATCAAGCCTTGCTGATCTTAACCCCGTGAAAGGGTCTCTTTGACTCCACAGCAAAAAGTATTTTAATTTAAATTGGATTGAAGTGTGTATTTGGCAAGATACATAATCCACAGGAGACAGGGACATTTTCACAACTGAGAGTTAGTGATATTGGTATGTATTGTTGGCCCAGATAAAGAATCAGACACAAGGCAAAGTAAGAATTATCAGTTTAGCATGATCTTTTTTTCCTTCTAAAACCTGTGCAGCCTTGGTCTTGTGTTATTTGGCCTTATGTATTTGTATTGCTCGTCAGAATTTCCTCTCTCTTAGTTTATATTTTAAATTGCTGCAGTGATTAGCCAAATGTGCAGTAGCTAACTTTGTGCCAGACTTCATTTTGTTGTGTTTATATTACTGGCAACGTTTCTCCTGGTATTCTCTGGGGCAATGTTGGAGGAAACTTACAGTTTAGGAAAACAGTGTTCCAGATCCCTGGACCTGCAGGATAAATCTGGGTGGGGGGGTACCCTTGAGCATTCTTGACCATATGTGTGTTGTCTGCCTACAGCTTGTCATAAGAGGTTAAAACTCACCATAGACAGCATATTTCTTTTTAAATTATTGCTGGGTTTCATCAGAGAAAGCACAAATTATGAGGGATATAATTGAAATAAGAACAAGAATCCTACTTTCCTCTCCCCAGTTTTCTCTCACACAAATACATGGGTATCCTTTCAACATTGCTTTAGCTTTGTGGTTTAGTCATATTCCATGAAATAAGCTCATGATTCAAGATAGAAGAAAACATGTGTGTACCTGCAATTTCCACTAGAGGGCATTTCCCCCCGTGTTGTCACAGTTGAGCCGCCATGATACCATCTTCTTTCATAATACATGCACTGTTTTAATGCCAATAAAGTAGAGGTATAGTAAACTACCTAAATTCCCCTTCTTTTACTGTGCACTCATTAGTGCTGAGGCTCCACTGTGTGACCTCCAGCAGGCACACTACCTGTTAAAACCTCTACACACCAAACTGACACCAAAGAACACCAAAGAACACATCCCGACGGAACGTCGCCTCACGTCTCCTGCGTCTTGGCCATGTGTCGCACTGGAACACACCGCAAAGACTTCAGCCGACGGCCAAGAAGCACGTACGAACTGCGCATGCGTGAGTGGCAATAACTCTCCTTACCAGCAGGCGGCGGGTAGTGTGTATTCGTCATTCAAAAGAGGCAACAACCAGAAGACAGACTGCGTGATACACCGAGAGAAGAAGAACAGACTGCGTGATATAAACAAACAACAAATAGCGTGTGCGTTCCATTTTCACTCTACAGCGAGAAGCTCATGGGGCTTTCCGAACCTGTGTCGAGAGCTGGAGTTAAATGAAATCTCAGATTTGCCTTCTTAATAATTTGTTTGGGTCCCTCACTTCCGTTTCGCTTCTCATGCACTGATTCGCTAGCTGAACAGCCAATCAGAGTGATTTCTTTGGCCGACTGCCCCTGATTCAACATGTCGAATCGGCGGCGGAAGGTGTCGGCACGGCCGAAAAGACACGAAGGTGCACAACGGTGCAGTACACCAATCTGAGTAGGGCGACACGGTTCCGTCGGGACGTGTTCTTTGGTGTTCTTTGGTGTTCTTTGGTGTCAGTTTGGTGTGTAGAGGCTTTAAGAGGCTTTAGAGAGGCTCCTCTGGGCTGCTTACCTCCCTAACCCTAACCCCCCTCCCCCATTTTATGTTATATCTAATTCTTAACATGCTTGGGAGTAAATCTTTCCAAATGTCAGAGAGAAGGGGTGAGTCAACCACTCACTTTGTGTTTGGGTTCATTTAAGTGGCTTTTGGTATTCTGAGATCAGCGTTTTGCAGTTTTAAGTTTACTTCAGTGTAATTAAAATGTAATTTCTCTGGCTGCTCTTGTGCCGCGACACACATTATCACCTCAGGGTGGTGGGAAATGTAATAGGTGTGTATGTGTGTCTGTGTCCTCTTGGCTTTCTATCTTTGTGAGGACCAGCATGAGGTTTTGACCTAGTGATGGAGGAAGTATATCCTTACTTCTAAAATGGCTGTTTGTGGCAAGGGTATTGATTAGGGTTAGGGTTAGAGTGATCGTGTTAACTTGGGGAAAGTTCAGAAAGTCAGAGTCTTTAAGTACATAGTGTCAAAATGTGAATCACCATATCTATCTTTGGGAGATCGGATTTTATAACTAGGAAATTATGAGTGTGTGTGTGTGTGTGTGTGTGTGTGTGTGTGTGTGTGTGTGTGTGTGTGTGTGTGTGTGTGTGTGTGTGTGTGTTTGTTTTTTTAAAGCAGATGTCTGATGAGGTCTTTTTTGTTTGCAACTTGAAATTGACGGTTACATAAAAATGAATCCTATTTGGGTAAGAGATAGATTAGATGTTTGAAATATTCATGGCTAAATAATTATGTACAAAAAACTGAAACATTTCTCTATCTCCTCTCAACGTCACACACATGCACAGGTATGCATACTTTCTCAATGGCGATCCATTTGGGACCTTCCCTTCATTTCCTGTGACAATGCTTAACATCACAATGAGGGAAAATCTGAGTGAAAAGCAAACACACACCCCGGCTGTAAAACTGGACTTTCCAGTCCAACACCCCTCTTAAAAACAGTTTATTTTGTGAGTTGGAAAATCAAGTCTTTGCCAAGCAAAGTTAATAACTAAAGCACATTGGCTGGTAGCTTTAACAGGTGTTTTTTTTATCACCACAGCTTTCTGATACGCCATCACATGCTTCAGCTCCCTCACTTACAAACCATAACCAAAAAGCGCACTTTATACCATGTTTTCAAACTTTTGTAGGATGGACATGCTTGCCTGTTAAAGTGAAAAAAGCTTATCACAGAGTGACTCAATAAGGACATGGTAACACTAGCATACTGTAATAAGATGAGGAGATCTCATAGTCTTGCAAATACCGACAGGAGATGTGTGGTGTGTCAAGATTAGATGTTGCACTCCAGGCCAAAAATGTTACTTAATGTTGTGTGTTATTTTTCGAGAAGCAGTGTATCAAAAAGCACAACTTTTTTAGTAGCATACCCCTATCCCAAAGCCGTGACACCAAACCACTCCAGAAGTATGTGAAAGTATGAAAGGGAAGCTTAGTTTTTATGACGGATTCGTTTTAAACAAACCTATGGATAAATATGCGTTGTAATATGCTTACAGCCCTGTACAGTTATAGTTATAAGCACTAATTAATACCGATATTGCTACATAAATAAAATCAACACATCATAAAGCATTTGAAAAAAAAGGTCAGATATCCTAATGCTTCATAATTACTTGTCACTCACTGAGGATCAAAGTGTACTATCATTCCCATAGTTGTAACACAATATACAATTTCACAACGCCACAAAACGCTTTATAATCATTTAAGATATGCAGCATACTATTACAAAGCATTATAAGTAGTCTTTTTTCATAAAGCATTATAGACATGTGCTTGCAACGAAAATGTCGGTTAGCCAGAAATAAGTATGACACTATAACACTGAAGTAATTAAAAAAAGTAATCTTTTGTTTTAAAGCATTCTGAATAAGTATGATTGCTTCTAACTAATCATACAGTGCTAAAAGCAGTTTGAGTTCATAATGCTTAATAAACGTGGGCTGAAAAAAAGCAGTGAAAATAATATTATAATAATAATTTACAAAAGCAGACTCATTTAAAGTGGGACGTTTTTGTGGCTATTGTTTAAGATTCATATCATGTTTGCTTCTGATTTCCCAGGCGTCCCCTTTGCTGTTTAGGTGCTAGAAGATGAGGGGGCATCAGGTGGTCCCGCTCTGTGTCCTCCTGGGCGTCCTGTTTGCAGGACTCCTCCCCAACCTTGAGGCTCAGGAAGGTAAGTCCATGTAAATCATCTCAGCCGCAGTCAGATCATCTGCCTGCTTGGTTATTGTCATGTTTGCTCATCTAAAAATAAATAATCTGCACCAGTTCATATATTCCGAAATGAATTGCTTCAGAAAAACCCATGAATGTTGTTGACAACACTTTTCTAATGAGCGTTGTTTTCTAAATATTGATCATTGTTAGAATTAAATAAATCTGAATTCAAAATGTGTTTCTCAATATTGTACAACATTTAGAGGCATCATGGGTGTTAGAATTCCAGTTAGATGCCTTTGATAAACAAAGCAGAATGATGCTGTCAGATTTAGAAAGTGTTAAGCACCAAAACAATATGTTGGTACCACACACCAAGCATCTTTTCACTGGTCTTCACTTTTGTCCTCCAAACATACTCCTGAAGATTGTGGACAAGGGTTGGAAGCCGATTTGTACTTTCTAGTGGATTCCTCTTGGAGTATTGGAGAAGAGAACTTTGGGCATGTCAGACAATTTGTGTACAGCTTGATACAATCAGTGCACCAGGTTGGAGGGGACAGGTTTAAATTTGCCCTGGTGACGTACAGTAATAAGCCTCAGACTGAGTTCCAGCTCAACAGCTACCAAACAATACGGGAAGTCCTGGCACACGTCAAGGCCATGCCGTACCGTGGGGAGGGCACCCGGACCGGATTATCTGATCCGCACACAGTTGACCAGCGCTTCTGGCAGCCGCGCAGCCAATGGTGCTGCCCAGGTGGTGGTGGTGTTGACAGACGGCCTGTCCTAGGATTACGTAGCACAGCCGGCCCAGGTGCTGCGGCTGGCCGGCGTGGAGGTGTTGGCGGTTGGAGTTCAGGATGCGGTTGACTCGGAGCTCAGGGAGATGAGGAGCCAGCCCCACAACACTCATGTATTCAGTGTAGACACTTTTATGACTTTACGAAATATAATTCAAGATTTAGTAGTAGGGCTTTGTGACGCAGTGACACGCTCGGGGGGGGGGGGGGGTCCTGTGGCAAACGAGGACCCCTTGGCTGGAGGAGGTACAGGTAATGAAATGGGACCAGTGTCACTACCATTACTAATATGTCTACATGTGCAGGACGAAGCTGCTGCATATGTGACCGTGACTGGATTTGATTATTAACACAATCAATATGTTTAACCACAATAACCTTTCACCATCCGACTGCGGAATTAACAACACTTGTTTTGTCTTACCACACTTAATATGTCCCTAATGCTTTAAGAATCACAATAAGAACCGCATGTGATTGATATTCCTACAGCATCTTCAATTGGAGTGTAAACTGATTCATACATATGCCTGTGCAAAGACATAATGAGCATGGATTGAGAAATATATATATACATGTAAGCAAAGAGAAAAATCTTTCCAGGTGCTTTAAAACCTGGTATATATTTATGTTATATGTTATATGTTATGTGTTGGCATCAAACACCTTTTTTAAGATAAAGCCTTTTTGTTTTGTCCCTCAACACAGTTTTGGGGTAAGGGACACAATACAAAGAGTAGGAAATAAAATTGTTAAATTTAAATACTGACACCTCAGACCTTTTGCTGCCCAGAAAAACCGTTGAAGAAAATTGACTCCAGGATGACATCACATCTCAAAATCAACCAATGAGCTTTTAACAATAGCTAACCATGCACCACTGCTTATGTGTCCTGCCTTATGTTTGTTTTTATCAGTCACAATGACTATCTGTGTAAGATATGTTCATGTTGTGTATTTTAAACAGAGATGAACCTGCTCGGACTCATCCTTGACCTGCAGAAGTACTTTGAGAATATGTGTTAGGTAGAAATTATACGCAATATGTAACAATAAATAACCATACTGACAATCATACATGATTCCTAATAAAATCAATTGAAAACATCTCTTATATACAAATGTATACTCATTTAAATTAAATCATGTACAATATTCTCAAGTACTGTAAACTTGTAGGCACCAAGGATATGCCACAGGGTCATGACTGGTCACTTTATCTGAGGTCCATAACAAGAGTCTGCATGGGATGGCTGAACACAATGGAGATAATAGAAGGGACACATCACACAAAATATCCTCCTCCTTTAGACATGAGGTTGTAATACTACCCTTCGATTCTTAATTTATTTTGTTCTGACTTCCAAAAAATGTCTGACCATTTATAGATGTTTTGGTTCTTGTCCCTTTGCAATTTTTTATAATCAAAAATGATCATAAAAGTTACATTTAATCATTAACTTAACAATCCTACACGTCAAAATTACATATTTTTTTATTTCTCAATCTAGATTTTTTTTAGTTGCCCAGTGTTGGAGTTATCAGCCATATGAAAGACTTTTCTCTAAAATAATGGAACTAGATGGCATTTGGCCATTGCTCAAAGTGCCAATAAAAGACTGAGCAGCAAAGCTTCTTTTCCAGAAGTCAGGAATCATGACCTGGGTACAGAATAAAACCACCAGAACTTTAAATTAAAACCTCCCAACCTAAAACTGCTTATAACAAGTACTGGGGATTAAATTGAGTAACGGTCAAACGATATTGGTGATGAGTTTATCATATGTGTTTTTTGACAATTTGAGCTTCACTAGCAACGGACCATTTAGTTGTACTTTATTCAAGAAAATCAGATGTCTCTTAAACTGTAATTGCTGCTGATTTGCTATATATAGCAAATCAGCTATATATATGATATATATTAAAAAAAAGAAGTTTTTAGCCACATACAGAATGTGAAGAATTAAATAAATTCATCCTATACCACTGGTTTGATAATGACAAAGTAAGGGGGGGGGGGGTCTCCTTGGTTCAGCCTACATGCAGTATGATGTTTTTGCAATGTTTGATTGATTTGTTCACTCTAAATGTTACTTGACAAATGCTAGCAACACTTCTTTTGTTGGATTCTTTGTCCCTGTCTCACCATGTTAACACCTTCACAAGTTCCATTTTGTTTTGTGTTCTCTCTCTCTCCTTAAAGCACAAGATTCAGCTGACCTAATACTCTTAATTGATGGATCAGAGAACGTTGGAGCAGCAAACTTCCCCTATGTGCGTGATTTGGCTTTGAGAATCATTGAGCGCCTCGATGTGGGCAGGGACACTATTCGGGTTGCTTTGGTCCTGTACAGCGTCAACCCAGATATAAAGTTCTATCTAAATAGTTATGACAGCAAGTCATCAGTCGTGGAAGCGGTGAAGGGCCTTGCCTACTCAGGGGGTGATGAGTCTAACTTGGGGGCCGCCCTGGAGGAAGTGGCCGAGAGCCTTTTGAGCCAATCAGCTGGGGGCAGGGCAGACGAGAGTGTGCCCCAGATGTTGATCGTTATCAGTGCTGGGCCATCCACAGATGATACTGGTGCCGGGGACCGGGCCCTTAAGAGGGCCGGTGTTATCACATTCGGCGCTTCGGTTGGGGACACGGCTTCTGCTGATCTGGAAACAGTTGCTACAGATAACAGTTTTGTCCTGTCAGCTCCTGATTTCAGAGCAGTGGCCAGCATGGGTGACCAGCTGCTCCCGTACATTAACGGGGTGGTCCAGCGCACCATTATAGTTCAGAATGAGTTCACAGAAGGTATGTAACTTCTCTGTAAATGTTGGCGAGGCATTGGGGTTTTGGAAGGGTACATAATACAAAAAACCCTGTCGAGTTCACAATAAATGTAATACAAAGTGCAAGGTAAGATATACATAGATGGTAAAAACACATTAAAAGTAATACATTGAAGCTTATCTAAATTTCTGTCTTCAAAATGTCACTAAGCTACAGCAAATGTCTAGATCCACAAAGTTAATTTAACCAATTGTAAAGAGAACCAAGACAATGTTTAAAAAATAAAGCTGGATGGACTTTAAGAATAGGTTTTGACCTTACACTAGCCTAAACAAATATTATTCGATAGAGCTTAAACAGTTTGAAGTTATACGTTTCTGCAATAAAAAGGGATTCATTAAGTAAATAATGATGTGTGCAAAATGCTTCCTGCTTAATACCGTTGTTGTTGATTTACAATAACAAAGAGACATTTCCAGCAATATGACAATAGTGAGAAAAAACACGTTCAAGTAAATGTCCCATGTATATTAGGCTTTGTAAAATTGTGTGGACAGTCTAAACGACAAAGACATCAAAATCGGCTATCACCAATATATATGTATGTTTTAATTTAATTGTATTAATTAATCCATAATAAGACTTAAAACCACCTTTTGTATTCTAAGCTTGATTTATGCTTTCTATAAAACACATCTTGTCCATCGGCAGTGGTCAAAACATCAAATAAAAAAACGCTCTTGTTTGATTTTGATTTCAAATCTTAATTCATATTTATGAAAATACACAGCTTTTTTTCTTCTTCTCAATGTTAGTTAACAGACTGTACTTGTTAGGCTTTTATTATACTTCAGACCTAAAATATGTATTATTTATAACATGTTGGAAATGAACCAGTATTCTCTTATTAATATATTTTCTTTTCTTTTCAGTTGTGACAGTTGGAAAAAGAGACATCATTTTCCTAATCGATAGTACAATGGGTGCAACGATCATCAATTCTGTGCGTGAATTCATCAAGCGGTTTGTGGAAATCATGCCGATTGGTCCAGACCAAGTTCAAGTGGGCGTGGCCCAGTTCGGCAATGCCCCTCGACTTGAGATGGATCTCAACTCCTATGGATCCAGGGAGGAATTAACTGCGGCTTTGAGCTCTATCAAACCAAGACCTGGACAGACCGTTAACATTGGAGCAGCCTTGGACTTTGTGCGGACAAATATGCTGCGGCCTGAGAAGGGCAGTCGTATTAACCAGGGGATACCCCAGGTTTTACTGCTGATGACCAGTAAAAAGTCCAGTGACAGTGTGGAAGCACCAGCTTTGGCCCTGCAGAGACTGGGCGTGTTGACTCTAGCTGCAGGCTCCAAAACGGCTGAGGAGCCGGAGCTGCGGCAGATAGCCTTTGCTGACAGCGTTGCATTCTATATGAGGGACTTCCGGCAATTGATTCGCAACCCAAAGGCCATAATTAATGCGCTCTCCACTCTAGCTGGGGTGGTGGTGACTGAACAACCCACTGAGCCAGGTACGTTTTTAATAATAATTAAATGAACAAAATAAGTCCATTTGAAATATAACAATTGACATATTAAAGTATAACCTTGAATAGATACTGTAAGTGGACACAATGAACGCAGATGCTTTGAACGTTAAAGTGCGCTGCATGATAAAAGTAGTCCATTGAAATCTTACTTGCCTTTGGTTGTGTGACAATACATATGGGACATTTTAGAATGTTATGTTGACAACAAATTCAGCCGCGATCAGAAAATCTAAAAAAAGTAAGTCTTTTGGAAAAAAAATTGTTCCATGAAACATGAGAAATTAATTAAATGTAAGCAATTTTAAGGCCATGTTTTGAAGAGAACAAGGAGGAAACAGGATTTTTTTAACGCAATTATTTTGGCTTCAGATGTAATGAAGCTTAAAATCCTTCCATGAGTGCACCACTTTGATGGGCATATTCACAAAGAATGGATTCTGACCATTAATAGCTCTGAGAATTGCACAAAATGTGTTGAAAGTTGAAATGCTGAACATAATTTGAGTAAATAATGTTAATGTAACTAAGTGATGACTTGCACCATGTTTTACATGATCAAAACAAGTTAATACTTACACATAAATCAACTTCAGCAGAGAATCAACTTGAGTACATAAAGAAATAAGTATTGTTTTAAAAAAAAAAGATAACTGTACCTGTGTAAGCAATACAGATGACTTAGTTTGATACCTTTTTTTAGTACTTCATTTGATACTGATCTTGTTATGGAAGCATTCAGTTGCCTAAAATGCCACCATCACTCCTCAACTTTCAAATGATTTTAAAGCAAATGCGTTTTGAAAATATAAAAATTGTTAAAATAGTTGTTGACCTTGTACACGATTGATTGAGATACTGAATATAAATCACAAGTGACCGCATACTGTGTGTGAGCAGAATATTGGTTGGGCGAAAGATAGAGGAATGGATGGGCGAGAGCAAACACCTTTTGGTAAAACATAGTTTAGGGGGAAAACGTATGGTCTGTGGAGTACGGTTAGCCTTGTGTACTTAGGCAAACAATAAGCAGAATGAAAATATAAAAGTGTTACGGATTGCTTTGTAATCTACATTTTGGTACTGGTCTTAATTATTAGTGTTTCACTAATTGTTTTACATCTTCAAAAGCCTGAAAGTATATGTAAGTGGTATCACAAAGAGGATAATTTGTTTTGTTTTTGTGCTTTTTCTTAGTGGTGGAGATAACAACAGTGCACACTCAAAAAGTGGTCAGAGACATTGTCTTCCTTGTGGATGGCTCAACCTACATTGGCAGCAGTAACTTTCCTTTCATGAGAGACTTCATTATCAACGTGGTCAACCAGCTGGATGTAGGTCCTGAAAGAGTCCAGATTGGTCTCCTGCAGTTTGCTGACCGTCCGAAAACTGAATTTTATCTGAACAGTCACAGCAACAGGCAAGATGTTGTGGATAAAATCTCTCAACTCAGACTCTCCGGAGGCTCAGTTCTGAATACAGGAGCTGCTATGGATTATGCCCTTGAAAACATGTTCAGGGTATCAACTGGCTCACGCAGGAGGCAGGGAGTCCAGCAGGTGTTGGTTCTGATCACCGGTGGTCCAGCCCAGGATCAGGTCAAATCTGTAGCCGATAAATTGGCTTTGGCTGGTGTTTTGACCTTCACAGTCAGCTCTGGGCAAGCAGATGAAGCGCTAATGAGGAATGTTGCCTTTGTTCCAGATTTGGCTTACCATGAAGCAAGCTTCTCTAGTTTACCAGCTCTAGCTGAAGTAATCATGTCAAAGTTGATAACAGTGGTTGGTGATACAGATACAGTGACATCCGTATTCCCTGATGAACCTGGTGAGTTTTTAATCTTTCTGTTGATATTAATGATTAAATGTGACATACATAAAAAGTTGACTGATTTGTTTCTTCCCTCAGCTGCTGGAGGGGAAAGGGATGTTGCCTTTCTCATTGATGGCACAGAAAGTGTTCGTGGAGATTTTGAATACATCAGGGATTTTATCATTAAAGTCATTGAACCACTTGACATCGGGATTGACAAAGTGCGAGTGTCAGTAGTTCAACACAGTGAGAGGCCAACACCAACTTTCTACCTTAACACGTATCAAACCAAAGATGAGGTAATGAGAGCTGTCAATGGAATGACTCTGATTGGTGGACGAGCCTTAAACACAGGAACTGCCCTTAGATTCATGAAGGATACCATCTTGTCTGAAAGGCATGGTAGCCGTTCCTTACAAAATGTCCCTCAGTTTCTCATCGTTTTGACTGGAGGCAGATCTAGGGACAATGTGAAGGATCCTGCAGGAGCGCTGAAAACAGACGGGGTCGTACCATTTGGTGTTGGTGTCAGAGATGCAGACCCGAGGCAGATTGCGGCCATTTCGCACAACCCTTCCTTTGCCTTCAATTTGAGGGAATTCAGTGAGCTTAGCACTGTACCACAAAAGCTCAACAACTACGTGAGCCTTCCAAGGGAACAGCTGACCCTGGTTCTACAGCAAGGTAAGCTAAATGTTTTTCTGAGTTCTTCTGTATGCAACATCTTCTGTATGAAAAATGTATCTTCCACTGATGTTTTATCAGGATAACTAAATATTATTTGTTGTGTCTTAGTGCAAAGCAATGCTGCAAAAAGAGATATTGTGTTCCTACTGGATGGCTCTGATAACACAAGAAATGGATTCCCAGAGATAAAGCTCTTTGTTAAGAGCATAGTGGAGAGCCTCTCTGTCAGTGAGAGCCATGACAGAGTGTCTGTGGTTCAGTTCGCTGCTAACCCTGATGTCAACTTTTATCTGAATTCTCACAAGACAAAGAATGACATGCTAAATGCTATAGATAAGTTAAGACACAAGGGTGGGAGACGCCTGAATATAGGGGGAGCTCTCCAGTTTGTGAGGCACAGTGTCTTCACTTCTTCCACGGGCAGTAGAAGACTAGAAGGAGTGCCCCAGATTTTGATTGTTCTAATTACAAAACCATCCAGTGATAATGTGAGAAGCTCAGCGTCTGCCCTTAAAGAGCATGACATTGTGTCAGTGGGGGTTGGAGTGGGAGATGCAAATCTTTCTGAGTTGGAAATGATTGCCTACAAACCTGGTTTCACATACAAAGTCACGGATTTCTCTGAGTTGCCCTCAGCACAATCACAACTTGTTGCTATACTGAACATAACCAAAGAGACTGGGGAAACCATGACTGGAATCTCTGATTTATTAGGTAAGAATTCCATGTTTAATTACATGCCTACATTTGGAGTACGATATGTTCTTTGTCTTCAGAATAAAATGATTTACTCTCTCTAATACTCCTTAATATCTATCATTAATATTTAAATTAAATTCTTAGTCAAATTACTCATTTAAAGATGATGAACGACTACAAATGTTTTGGCACATTTCTGACAAGTTTCTGACATTTTATGAAAAAGCAACTTTCACAGGCTTTTCCAGAATGTGAAACTCTTTCAAATGTCTTTCAAAAAGTTGACATAAATGTTACTGGCAAATTCTATCATACATCTTTCTGATAAAAAGATGGTTCTTTGCAGCTTGAAATAAGACTTTCAGAGCAGTGGCTCTTCTTTCTTTCTGGGCTCAGTGTATTCCTCTGAGCTTCTTTCTTGCTGATGAATCTACTTGAGGCTTAGAAAATCTTGATCGTCAATCGATGAATCCTTTTTCTTTCTATCCATGTATCACCTTGTTAACACAGGCAGCAATAAGAGGGACTTAGTGTTTCTCCTTGATGGGTCAGATGAGTCCAGAAATGGCCTGCCAGCTATTCGTGAGTTCATCAGAAGAATGATGCAAGACCTGGAAATTGCTGAAGATAAGATTCGGGTGTCGGTCGTACAGTATAGTAATGACAACACAGTTTACTTCAACCTTAAAACTCACAGATCAAAAAAAGCAATAATCCACGCTGTCAGAAGTCTCCGGCATAAAGGAGGAAGACCTCGGAACACTGGAAATGCTCTACAGTTTGTGCGAGACCATGTATTTACACCTTCATCTGGGAGCAGACGCCTGGAGGGAGTCCCTCAGATTCTATTTTTACTGACCGGTGGCAAGTCCAATGACGATGTCTCACAAGCGGCATTAGACCTAAAACAAATCGGTGTTCTATCTTTCGCCATTGGAATGAAAAACACTAAGCTGGAGGAGCTTCAAAGAATTGCCTTCTCCTCCAGATTTCTTTTCAACCTTCCTGTCTTTGGTGAACTTTTGTCTATTCAGCCGGAGATTTCTGCATTTGTCAAGGCTGAAATACAAATTGAGCCCCCCACTGTTATAGGTAAGACGTGTCCCATATTTGCATTTGAGAGTTGAAGCGACCTTCCGCTGGTTTAGTGCACTTTATTTTCCATAGTTTGAATTGCAATGAAACTGCATCACCTTCTGAAGAATGTCAGCTGATCAGTTTCATGTTTCTCAAAGATCTTTCACTGGATTTCACTGGCGAGTCAACTTCCTTGAAGTACTGTTTCTTGATTGGCTCTCGTCCTTTTTCCCTTCAAGTCTTTTCTTGACAGCCAATCAGAACATCTCCTTTCTTTCTATTCTTAAGCTCTACCTTGAGCCAATGATATCACATCATTGACCAACTAATTTAGAGCTAGAGAATATTTAAATCTTTCTTTTAAACTTTTACTTCTTTCATTTCTGAAAGAGGAATATGATTCTTCTTATCTTGTAGTTAGTTTCAAGTATCTGAATACATTCTTCATCTACCATTTCTATACATTTTTATTAGATCTAACACCTTGCTTATCATAGTAAATACCAGCTGTTATGACCTCTCCAACTATCTAATGTGTAATTATTGCACCATAATATATTTGAGCTTGTGCAGTACATGTTTAATTGTTAAACAAGGTTTTCCAATTTCTTTTTCTAGTTGAATTAGAGTCCCCTCAAAGAGACATAGTGTTTCTAATTGATGGGTCAGATGACACAAGGAATGGCTTCCCAGCTATGAAAAGCTTTGTCCAAAAAGTGGTAGAAACACTCAGTGTTGGTGAAAACAAAGACCGTGTGTCTGTGGTCCAGTATAGCAGGGATCCACAGACACATTTCAGTTTGAACACCTACAATGAAAAACAAAATGTCCTTGCTGCAGTCCAGCAGTTGAACCACAAAGGAGGCAGACCCCTTAACACTGGGGCGGCTCTCGACTACGTGAGGAAAAATGCTTTTGCTGATTCTTCTGGAAGTCGGCATCAGGACGGTGTCCCTCAAATATTGATTTTGTTGAGTGGGGGAAGATCTCAAGATGATGTTGCAATTTCTGCTGCGGCTCTAAAACAGGACAAAGTTGTTCCATTCTGTGTAGGAACAAGAACTTCAGACATAATCGAGCTCCAAATGATTGCACATAACCCTTCCTATGCCTTCTCTGTGCTCGGGTTTGATGATATTGGGAGCATCCATCAACAACTTGCCGCATTTGTGAAAAGAGTGCCTCGACAGCAGTCACGGCTAAAACCACAAAATGCATTAGGTAAGGCTTATCATCTATCTATCTATCTATCTATCTATCTATCTATCTATCTATCTATCTATCTATCTATCTATCTATCTATCTATCTATCTATCTATCTATCTATCTATGATAATACATTTTTAACTAATTGAGCACCATCCTTCTGTCTGTTAAAGTTTCTACAGATCCAACTGAGTCCATTCAACACGATATTGTATTTTTACTGGATTGTTCAGACGAAATGCAAAATGACTTTAAGGCAATGACTGGCTTTGTTGAGAGAATGGTGGACAAATTCAATGTGGATGAAAACAAAGATCGTGTTTCAGTGGTGCAGTACAGCAGAGAACCCTCTGTTGATTTCTTTCTGAACACACACAAAACACAGAAGGATGTTGCTGACAACGTGCGCATTCTGAGGCATAAAGGAGGCAGACCCCTAAATTCTGGTGCAGCCCTTCAGTACATCAAGGATAATGTTTTCACTGCCTCTTCTGGAAGTAGGAACCAACAGGGTGTCCCTCAGATTTTGGTTCTTTTAACTGGCGGACGATCCAGTGATGATGTCAGAAATGCTGTAAAAAACTTGAGAGGATTCGGTGCGATGGTATATGTGGTTGGAATAAAGAATGCAGATGCCCTTGAGATACAGTCTATTTCACAGGAAGCCAGTCATGCTTTCTTTGCAGCAGACTCCAGTAATCTGTCAGGCATTGAACAGCAAATATTTTCTGAAATCATGAACAATGAAACCCCTGCTGTCAAACACACATTATATGGTAAGAAAAAATGACTGTTATGACTTTATGCTTTAACCTTGTGCACAACTTCAGATTGGCATAGAACTTAAGTCATGGGGTAACTTAATACTTGCAGGAACTTAACATTTTTCATCACACATTTCATCATCAAACATTTGTTTTACTGCCTGTATGATTACAGATCCCAACAGAAGAGATGTTGTTTTTTTGCTTGATGGTTCTGATGATTCTCAGCGAAGATTCCCAGATATCAAAGATTTTGTGCAGAGAATAGTGGCGGACCTGAATATTGATGCAAACAGAGATCGTGTGGCTGTGCTCCAGTACAGTAACGTGGCAGAGATTGATTTTGACTTGAGACGTTACTCAACACAGGATGATGTTCTTGATGCAGTAAGAGGCCTCAGTCACAAAGGAGGTTATCCTCACAACATTGGAGCAGCTCTCCAGTATGTAAAGGACCATGTATTTACTCCTGAATTAGGAAGTAGACTCCTTGAGGGAGTTCCACAGATACTTATACTACTAAGTGGTGGAAGATCTGAAGATGACATAAGGACCCCGGTCCGAATGCTGAAAGACACCGGTGTCATTACAATTGCCATTGGAACAACTGACGCTGACACCCTACAGCTGCAAACCATTTCTCATGAACCCAATTATGCAGTCTCTATTACTGATTATGAGGAACTTCCGACAGCTAAGCAGGATGTGTTGTCATTGTTAAGAGATGCTTCTCAACGTCCAGAGCAAACCGCTTCCCCAAAAGGTTTTGGTAAGATGTGATGTTTAAATCTTTTGGCTACAACCTTTTAGCAAAAAGAATAAGGCAATGCGCTAAAATAGATTAGAGATTATTGCTATAACTGACATATTCACTGAAGCGTTTTAAATTACCTGTTAACTTCATATTTGTTTCTAAGTCTTTTGTCTTTGTTGCAGATTCAGAGAAAAAAGATGTAGTATTTCTTATTGATGGATCACATGACTCACGAAACAGCTTTGAAAAGATACGAGGCTTTGTTGAAAAAATGGTTGAAAGTTTAAATCTTGATGAGAACAGAGACCAAGTGGCTATTGTTCAATTCAGCCGTGATGCCACAGCCAATTTCTACCTGAATTCCTATTCAACCAAGAACGATGTGCTCAATTCCATAAGAACAATAAGACATAAGTTGGGCAGACCTCTTAACATTGGCAAAGCACTTGAGTTTGTCAAAGACAATGTCTTTGCTGACTCAGTTGGAGGCAGAAGTGCAGAATCAATCCCTCAATATTTGTATGTTTTTAGTGGTGGGAGGTCAGGGGATGATGTCAGAGGACCAGCACAATCACTCAAAGAAAATGGCATAAATACTTTTACTATTGGAACAAAGAATGCTGATACATTGGAAATGCAAACCATCTCTTTCACTCCAGCACATTATTTTCATGTCACAAACTTTAACAATCTGCAAAGCATACCTCCATCTGTAGAAGCCACATTGAGGGGTGTTCAAGAAACAACAGAAATGCCAACTGCAATTGGTAAGATTTAGAGCAATAGTCATAATTTGTACATGAAGATCTGCTAGATCAGTGGTTCCCCACCTTTTTCAGTCAGGCCCATCTTGTGTAATTGGAAATATTTCCGAGCCCCCCCTAATCCGGTTCACACAGAGATTGGTAGAATTATTTGTATATAGTTGTACAAACATTACATTTTCTCTGCTAATAATAACAAGACAAAAAGATCCAACTCTAATTTTATATTTTATTATGGATTGAACATGAACAAAAGTGCTTGTATTGGCAGATGATCCTGTGCCACTGTGAAATAATGAGGCCTGATTGAAACAATTACAAATACGTTTTATCGATCCGGTTCTTTAACAGTATTTTTATAGGTTATTTTTCATGGGAAAAACCAAACAAATTAGAAACAGAATTCACATTGATTAATGTTATGTATAGTGTGGGTGATGGGCTGCTAGCACACATAAAATACCTGCAGTGGTGGTAGTAAGTAGATTTACTCAAGTACTGTACTTATATTGAGGTACTTAAGTATTTCCACTTTTGCTTCTTTGTAATTCTGCTCCACTACAGTCCAGAGATAAATTATGTACTTTTACTGCATGTATTTAATACCTCTAGTTACTTTACAGATCTGGATGAATGATGTGAAATATAATCAAGTCTTAAATCAGACTTTAGTTACACCTGGAGTAAATTCACAAGCTACCCTGCAGTATACTACTTTTACTTAAGTACTTGATCTGAGTACTTCTCCCTCCTTACACGTAATTGGGGCAACAGAACTCAGAGTTAAGGAAGTTGAAAACGGTGCATTTCTCCGTATGAATATGATGCCTTTTGGCCAGCTGGACAGATTGCTCGTGTTTCCGCGAAAATACTTATGGCAAACGAGCATTGACCACATCTCTCATTGTCACTTTTGAACGCTATGTTGGAAAGAGAGAGAGAGAGAGAGAGATATCTCCGCACCGAACACGTTAGATGTCAAGGGATATGTATGCCTCATCATACTTTGTTGATTTGGGCATTATAGCTGAAAGGCTCGTCGTGGGCTCGTCAACTTTTCTTTTAACTGCCGGTTGTATTAAAAATGTGTCAATGTTATTGATTTTACAAGCAAACAATGTTTGTTTACAACTTCTTCCCAAGCTCCACGCGCCCCCCCTGCAATAGCCCCCCAGGTTGGGAACCACTGTGCTAGATGGACATACAAGTTGTATGATTGTATACCATGGGTATACTAAAAAATTTTCCGTCTAAGGTAAAGATGTTGGTTTTGTAAAATGTTTGTTTTTATCGATTTCAGACACTTCCACAATTTCAGAATTAAAGCTGCTGAGTGCCGATGTTGTTTTTCTTCTTGATGGATCAGATGAAATGCGAGCAAGTGAAAGACACATTTTTGATTTTGTCAGAGAGTTTGTTAAGCAAACAGAAATTGGGCCAAGCAAGGTGCAAGTGGCTCTGATTCAGTACAGCACAGAGCCCACTTCTGAGTTTTTCTTGAACACGCACTCACTTAAAGACGATGTCATCGGTCATTTGAGCAATGTCAAACTAAAAGGAGGGTTCAGTGTGAATACTGGTCTGGCCCTTGATTACGTGAAGAACAATGTGTTCAGTGCTTCATCTGGGAGCAGAGCCCAGCAGGGAGTTCCACAGATACTGATTCTCTTAAGTGGGAGAAAGTCAGAAGATGATGTCTTAGGTCCAGTGGAAAGAATGAGAAAGACTGGAATTGTAATTTTCAGTGTTGGCATGATTGATGCAGAAGGACTGGAGATGGAGCAAATAGCACACAGCCCTAAAGCGAAGTATTTAATCAAGGGCATTTCTGACTTTCCTCTTGTGAGAGAACAGTTGCTGTCAGACATTGCATCTCATAAAGACACTGACAGCCCTGGTGTAGGTGAGTGACATTGATTTGACTTTACTTTATCTTTAATTAATAGATACATGGAACACTATCTTTATAATGTACAACAATTCAAACCCTGTATACTGCATGTATTTTACTTTCATCCACAGTTTTCAGATTTCTTTTGTTAACCGACTTATATGACTCTGGACTTTTCTAGGTTCAAGCACCAGTATAAGGAGAAATATTGTCTTTCTCATTGATGGATCTGATGATGTCAGGAGTCGATTCCCTGCTTTACGTGAATTTGTTGCAAAGATTGTTGACGGCTTAGACCTGAACCAAGGAAAAGATAAAGTAGCTGTTGTGCAGTATAGCAACAATGCTGAACTCAATTTCAATTTAAATACCTACAAAACAAAAGAAGATGTTCTTAAGCATGTTGCAAGTTTAAAACCAAAAGGTGGAAGACCTCAGTATATTGGAGCAGCATTGCAGTTTGTGAAGGATAACGTCTTTATTTCAAATGCTGGAGGTCAGCATCAGGAAGGTACCAAGCAGATACTCGTCATATTGGCTAGTGGAAGGTCTAGAGATTCTCCACGAGGCCCTGCAAGTAAGCTGAAGGCTGAAGGGGTTGTCACATTTTCAATTGGATCAAGAATGACAAATTCCGCTGAGATGCAAGTAATTTCCTCTGACCCAAATTATGCCTACTCAGTCCCTGACTTTGTAAATCTCCCTCGTATTCAACAAAGTTTAATGAGTCATCTCACTCAAATGGGGGCTGAGGATGAAACTAAAGCAGGTAAGAATTTAGATTATTTGAAAATGTATTCAAACAAATCTTCCGTTGGTGATACATATATAATGATTGTGATTAACATAATTCAACTCTACTTTTGTTAACAGACAAACATATTGAAAATGGAAGAGACATAGTTTTTCTTTTGGATGGATCTGATAACACCAGGAATGGATTTTCAGCAATTCAAGATTTCCTGTACAAAGTAATAGAAAGGTTAAACATCGGACCAAATGAACACAGAGTTGCTGTTATTCAATTCAGCAATGTGGCACGACCCAATTTCTTTTTAAATTCCTTTATGAAGAAGGAAGCTGTCCTGACAGCTGTCAGAAGGCTCTCACACAAAGGTGGAAGACCTCTGAAAATGGGTGCAGCTCTCACATATGTCAAAGAAAATGTATTCACAACTGCCTCAGGTAGCAGATACACTGCACATGTGCCACAAACTCTTGTTGTTTTAAGTGGTGGGCCATCAAATGACAGTGTGGATTTGCCTTCTGCTTCTCTAAAAGAAAGCAATGTCACAATATTAACCATTGGAACAAAATACGCTGACCCTAAAGAAATGGAGAAACTATCTCATGCTTCAAGTTACACTTTTTCTGTTTCTGATGAAGCTGAACTTACAAATATACAAGAGCAAGTTGTTGGTACAATTATGGAAGAAAAATTGAGAAGTGAAGTTCCAAAAACTGAAGTCATTGGTAAGAATAATTGCATTGATACCCTTTATTGAAGAACAATTTAAATCAAGAAAGGCTGTAAAAATTGAGGTTAGCTTTCATCATATGACTCTTGACAACAAACCTAAACATCTCTCAAATTCTATGTTCCCTAGTGGAGAGACAACAACCAGGAAGAGATGTTGTGTTCTTGTTGGATGGAACTGATAGTACAAGAAGTGGATTCCCAGCCATGCGAGACTTTGTCCAAAGAGTAGTAGAGAAACTCAGTGTGGACAACAACAAAGACCGTGTCTCAGTGGTGCAGTACAGCAGAGATCCAGCTGTCAATTTCTATCTGAACACATACACGACAAAAGGAGAAATCCTTGACACAGTCAGAGGTTTGAAACACAAAGGTGGAAGACCCCTCAACACTGGAGCAGCTCTCCAGTACTTGAGGGATAATGTCTTTACAGCCTCTGCTGGAAGCAGGCGCCTAGAAGGAGTTCCACAGATCCTGTTATTGCTAAGTGGCGGAAAGTCTTTTGACAGTGTTGATGCACCAGCCTCTGATCTCAAACAGCTGGGTGTCTTGACCTTCGCGATTGGAACCAGGAGCTCTGATAGCAGAGAACTGGAAAAGATATCCCACGGTCCCAATTTTGTTCTATCTGTGTCTGATTTCAATGACCTTCCCAGTATCCAACAGCAACTTCAGTCCTCGGTGGAGGCTGTGGTTATAGACGTCACCCCACAAACCCCAACTGTACTTGGTATGTTAACAAGCATGTCCTCTTGTTGGCCTGAAGCCTACCTGACTTATTTGACCTACATTGTACTTTTAAATAGAGAGGGTGCCAGTTTTCTTTTCACTATTTAAAATTAAAGTAATCATTGCGAGGTGCTTTCAAAAAGATAGTCCACATCTTCAGAACTATTCCATGCACATATTATTGCAAAGGTTTTAATATTTTGTCTTCCTGTCTTTTCTCAGTTGACACTGCCAAAAAGGACATTGTGTTCCTTCTGGATGGCTCTGATAGCACAAGGAATGGCTTCCCTGCCATGCGTGATTTTGTTGAGAGGGTGGTGGAGAAACTCAATGTGGGAGAGAACAGAGACCGTGTCTCTGTAGTACAGTACAGCAAAGATGCAGAGGTCCATTTCTACTTGAAAACATACAGCACAAAAGAGGATATTGTTGATTCGGTTAGAGGGTTGAGACACAAAGGAGGCAGACCCCTCAACACCGGGGCTGCCCTCCAATACGTCAGAGAATATGTCTTTACAAACTCCTCCGGGAGTAGGCGCCTGCAGGGTGTTCCACAGATGTTGATCCTGCTAAATGGTGGAAGGTCTTTTGACAATGTAGACACCCCAGCCTCTGCTCTCAAACAGCAGGGCATCATTGTGCTTGGTATTGGAACAAGGAACTCTGACAGTGGAGAGCTGAGGAAGATATCATATGACCCTAGTTACGCTCTATCAGTGTCTGAGTTTACTGACCTCCCCAGTGTCCAAGAACAGCTCTCCTCTGTGATGAGCACAGTGCTAGTGAGAGCTACGCCGGTAACACCAACAGAAACTGGTAAGAAAGTGACTTACTTACATTCCAAAATCATGGTAGGATGCAATTTGAACTGTATTCAAGTGTATATCACTAAATTCAGCTTTGAAAAAAACAGTTGCGCCATCAGAATTGCTGTTAAAACTTTGGTTCGTTTTCATCATATGACTCTTGACAACAAACCTAAACATCTCTCAAATTCTATGTTCCCTAGTGGAGAGACAACAACCAGGAAGAGATGTTGTGTTCTTGTTGGATGGAACTGATAGTACAAGAAGTGGATTCCCAGCCATGCAAGACTTTGTCCAAAGAGTAGTAGAGAAACTCAGTGTGGACGACAACAAAGACCGTGTCTCAGTGGTGCAGTACAGCAGAGATCCAGCTGTCAATTTCTATCTGAACACATACACGACAAAAGGAGAAATCCTTGACACAGTCAGAGGTTTGAAACACAAAGGTGGAAGACCCCTCAACACTGGAGCAGCTCTCCAGTACTTGAGGGATAATGTCTTTACAGCCTCTGCTGGAAGCAGGCGCCTAGAAGGAGTTCCACAGATCCTGTTATTGCTAAGTGGCGGAAAGTCTTTTGACAGTGTTGATGCACCAGCCTCTGATCTCAAACAGCTGGGTGTCTTGACCTTCGCGATTGGAACCAGGAGCTCTGATAGCAGAGAACTGGAAAAGATATCCCACGGTCCCAATTTTGTTCTATCTGTGTCTGATTTCAATGACCTTCCCAGTATCCAACAGCAACTTCAGTCCTCAGTGGAGGCTGTGGTTATAGACGTCACCCCACAAACCCCAACTGTACTTGGTATGTTAACAAGCATGTCCTCTTGTTGGCCTGAAGCCTACCTGACTTATTTGACCTACATTGTACTTTTAAATAGAGAGGGTGCCAGTTTTCTTTTCACTATTTAAAATTAAAGTAATCATTGCGAGGTGCTTTCAAAAAGATAGTCCACATCTTCAGAACTATTCCATGCACATATTATTGCAAAGGTTTTAATATTTTGTCTTCCTGTCTTTTCTCAGTTGACACTGCCAAAAAGGACATTGTGTTCCTTCTGGATGGCTCTGATAGCACAAGGAATGGCTTCCCTGCCATGCGTGATTTTGTTGAGAGGGTGGTGGAGAAACTCAATGTGGGAGAGAACAGAGACCGTGTCTCTGTAGTACAGTACAGCAAAGATGCAGAGGTCCATTTCTACTTGAAAACATACAGCACAAAAGAGGATATTGTTGATTCGGTTAGAGGGTTGAGACACAAAGGAGGCAGACCCCTCAACACCGGGGCTGCCCTCCAATACGTCAGAGAATATGTCTTTACAAACTCCTCCGGGAGTAGGCGCCTGCAGGGTGTTCCACAGATGTTGATCCTGCTAAATGGTGGAAGGTCTTTTGACAATGTAGACACCCCAGCCTCTGCTCTCAAACAGCAGGGCATCATTGTGCTTGGTATTGGAACAAGGAACTCTGACAGTGGAGAGCTGAGGAAGATATCATATGACCCTAGTTACGCTCTATCAGTGTCTGAGTTTACTGACCTCCCCAGTGTCCAAGAACAGCTCTCCTCTGTGATGAGCACAGTGCTAGTGAGAGCTACGCCGGTAACACCAACAGAAACTGGTAAGAAAGTGACTTACTTACATTCCAAAATCATGGTAGGATGCAATTTGAACTGTATTCAAGTGTATATCACTAAATTCAGCTTTGAAAAAAACAGTTGCGCCATCAGAATTGCTGTTAAAACTTTGGTTCGTTTTCATCATATGACTCTTGACAACAAACCTAAACATCTCTCAAATTCTATGTTCCCTAGTGGAGAGACAACAACCAGGAAGAGATGTTGTGTTCTTGTTGGATGGAACTGATAGTACAAGAAGTGGATTCCCAGCCATGCAAGACTTTGTCCAAAGAGTAGTAGAGAAACTCAGTGTGGACGACAACAAAGACCGTGTCTCAGTGGTGCAGTACAGCAGAGATCCAGCTGTCAATTTCTATCTGAACACATACACGACAAAAGGAGAAATCCTTGACACAGTCAGAGGTTTGAAACACAAAGGTGGAAGACCCCTCAACACTGGAGCAGCTCTCCAGTACTTGAGGGATAATGTCTTTACAGCCTCTGCTGGAAGCAGGCGCCTAGAAGGAGTTCCACAGATCCTGTTATTGCTAAGTGGCGGAAAGTCTTTTGACAGTGTTGATGCACCAGCCTCTGATCTCAAACAGCTGGGTGTCTTGACCTTCGCGATTGGAACCAGGAGCTCTGATAGCAGAGAACTGGAAAAGATATCCCACGGTCCCAATTTTGTTCTATCTGTGTCTGATTTCAATGACCTTCCCAGTATCCAACAGCAACTTCAGTCCTCAGTGGAGGCTGTGGTTATAGACGTCACCCCACAAACCCCAACTGTACTTGGTATGTTAACAAGCATGTCCTCTTGTTGGCCTGAAGCCTACCTGACTTATTTGACCTACATTGTACTTTTAAATAGAGAGGGTGCCAGTTTTCTTTTCACTATTTAAAATTAAAGTAATCATTGCGAGGTGCTTTCAAAAAGATAGTCCACATCTTGAGAACTATTCCATGCACATATTATTGCAAAGGTTTTAATATTTTGTCTTCCTGTCTTTTCTCAGTTGACACTGCCAAAAAGGACATTGTGTTCCTTCTAGATGGCTCTAATAGCACAAGGAATGGCTTCCCTGCCATGCGTGATTTTGTTGAGAGGGTGGTGGAGAAACTCAATGTGGGAGAGAACAGAGACCGTGTCTCTGTAGTACAGTACAGCAAAGATGCAGAGGTCCATTTCTACTTGAAAACATACAGCACAAAAGAGGATATTGTCGATTCGGTTAGAGGGTTGAGACACAAAGGAGGCAGACCCCTCAACACCGGGGCTGCCCTCCAATACGTCAGAGAATATGTCTTTACAAACTCCTCCGGGAGTAGGCGCCTGCAGGGTGTTCCACAGATGTTGATCCTGCTAAATGGTGGAAGGTCTTTTGACAATGTAGACACCCCAGCCTCTGCTCTCAAACAGCAGGGCATCATTGTGCTTGGTATTGGAACAAGGAACTCTGACAGTGGAGAGCTGAGGAAGATATCATATGACCCTAGTTACGCTCTATCAGTGTCTGAGTTTACTGACCTCCCCAGTGTCCAAGAACAGCTCTCCTCTGTGATGAGCACAGTGCTAGTGAGAGCTACGCCGGTAACACCAACAGAAACTGGTAAGAAAGTGACTTACTTACATTCCAAAATCATGGTAGGATGCAATTTGAACTGTATTCAAGTGTATATCACTAAATTCAGCTTTGAAAAAAACAGTTGCGCCATCAGAATTGCTGTTAAAACTTTGGTTCGTTTTCATCATATGACTCTTGACAACAAACCTAAACATCTCTCAAATTCTATGTTCCCTAGTGGAGAGACAACAACCAGGAAGAGATGTTGTGTTCTTGTTGGATGGAACTGATAGTACAAGAAGTGGATTCCCAGCCATGCAAGACTTTGTCCAAAGAGTAGTAGAGAAACTCAGTGTGGACGACAACAAAGACCGTGTCTCAGTGGTGCAGTACAGCAGAGATCCAGCTGTCAATTTCTATCTGAACACATACACGACAAAAGGAGAAATCCTTGACACAGTCAGAGGTTTGAAACACAAAGGTGGAAGACCCCTCAACACTGGAGCAGCTCTCCAGTACTTGAGGGATAATGTCTTTACAGCCTCTGCAGGAAGCAGGCACCTAGAAGGAGTTCCACAGATCCTGTTATTGCTAAGTGGCGGAAAGTCTTTTGACAGTGTTGATGCACCAGCCTCTGATCTCAAACAGCTGGGTGTCTTGACCTTCGCGATTGGAACCAGGAGCTCTGATAGCAGAGAACTGGAAAAGATATCCCACGGTCCCAATTTTGTTCTATCTGTGTCTGATTTCAATGACCTTCCCAGTATCCAACAGCAACTTCAGTCCTCGGTGGAGGCTGTGGTTATAGACGTCACCCCACAAACCCCAACTGTACTTGGTATGTTTACAAGCATGTCCTCTTGTTGGCCTGAAGCCTACCTGACTTATTTGACCTACATTGTACTTTTAAATAGAGAGGGTGCCAGTTTTCTTTTCACTATTTAAAATTAAAGTAATCATTGCTAGGTGCTTTCAAAAAGATAGTCCACATCTTGAGAACTATTCCATGCACATATTATTGCAAAGGTTTTAATATTTTGTCTTCCTGTCTTTTCTCAGTTGACACTGCCAAAAAGGACATTGTGTTCCTTCTGGATGGCTCTGATAGCACAAGGAATGGCTTCCCTGCCATGCGTGATTTTGTTGAGAGGGTGGTGGAGAAACTCAATGTGGGAGAGAACAGAGACCGTGTCTCTGTAGTACAGTACAGCAAAGATGCAGAGGTCCATTTCTACTTGAAAACATACAGCACAAAAGAGGATATTGTCGATTCGGTTAGAGGGTTGAGACACAAAGGAGGCAGACCCCTCAACACCGGGGCTGCCCTCCAATACGTCAGAGAATATGTCTTTACAAACTCCTCCGGGAGTAGGCGCCTGCAGGGTGTTCCACAGATGTTGATCCTGCTAAATGGTGGAAGGTCTTTTGACAATGTAGACACCCCAGCCTCTGCTCTCAAACAGCAGGGCATCATTGTGCTTGGTATTGGAACAAGGAACTCTGACAGTGGAGAGCTGAGGAAGATATCATATGACCCTAGTTACGCTCTATCAGTGTCTGAGTTTACTGACCTCCCCAGTGTCCAAGAACAGCTCTCCTCTGTGATGAGCACAGTGCTAGTGAGAGCTACGCCGGTAACACCAACAGAAACTGGTAAGAAAGTGACTTACTTACATTCCAAAATCATGGTAGGATGCAATTTGAACTGTATTCAAGTGTATATCACTAAATTCAGCTTTGAAAAAAACAGTTGCGCCATCAGAATTGCTGTTAAAACTTTGGTTCGTTTTCATCATATGACTCTTGACAACAAACCTAAACATCTCTCAAATTATATGTTCCCTAGTGGAGAGACAACAACCAGGAAGAGATGTTGTGTTCTTGTTGGATGGAACTGATAGTACAAGAAGTGGATTCCCAGCCATGCAAGACTTTGTCCAAAGAGTAGTAGAGAAACTCAGTGTGGACGACAACAAAGACCGTGTCTCAGTGGTGCAGTACAGCAGCGATCCAGCTGTCAATTTCTATCTGAACACATACACGACAAAAGGAGAAATCCTTGACACAGTCAGAGGTTTGAAACACAAAGGTGGAAGACCCCTCAACACTGGAGCAGCTCTCCAGTACTTGAGGGATAATGTCTTTACAGCCTCTGCATGGAAGCAGGCACCTAGAAGGAGTTCCACAGATCCTGTTATTGCTAAGTGGCGGAAAGTCTTTTGACAGTGTTGATGCACCAGCCTCTGATCTCAAACAGCTGGGTGTCTTGACCTTCGCGATTGGAACCAGGAGCTCTGATAGCAGAGAACTGGAAAAGATATCCCACGGTCCCAATTTTGTTCTATCTGTGTCTGATTTCAATGACCTTCCCAGTATCCAACAGCAACTTCAGTCCTCAGTGGAGGCTGTGGTTATAGACGTCACCCCACAAACCCCAACTGTACTTGGTATGTTTAACAAGCATGTCCTCTTGTTGGCCTGAAGCCTACCTGACTTATTTGACCTACATTGTACTTTTAAATAGAGAGGGTGCCAGTTTTCTTTTCACTATTTAAAATTAAAGTAATCATTGCTAGGTGCTTTCAAAAAGATAGTCCACATCTTGAGAACTATTCCATGCACATATTATTGCAAAGGTTTTAATATTTTGTCTTCCTGTCTTTTCTCAGTTGACACTGCCAAAAAGGACATTGTGTTCCTTCTGGATGGCTCTGATAGCACAAGGAATGGCTTCCCTGCCATGCGTGATTTTGTTGAGAGGGTGGTGGAGAAACTCAATGTGGGAGAGAACAGAGACCGTGTCTCTGTAGTACAGTACAGCAAAGATGCAGAGGTCCATTTCTACTTGAAAACATACAGCACAAAAGAGGATATTGTCGATTCGGTTAGAGGGTTGAGACACAAAGGAGGCAGACCCCTCAACACCGGGGCTGCCCTCCAATACGTCAGAGAATATGTCTTTACAAACTCCTCCGGGAGTAGGCGCCTGCAGGGTGTTCCACAGATGTTGATCCTGCTAAATGGTGGAAGGTCTTTTGACAATGTAGACACCCCAGCCTCTGCTCTCAAACAGCAGGGCATCATTGTGCTTGGTATTGGAACAAGGAACTCTGACAGTGGAGAGCTGAGGAAGATATCATATGACCCTAGTTACGCTCTATCAGTGTCTGAGTTTACTGACCTCCCCAGTGTCCAAGAACAGCTCTCCTCTGTGATGAGCACAGTGCTAGTGAGAGCTACGCCGGTAACACCAACAGAAACTGGTAAGAAAGTGACTTACTTACATTCCAAAATCATGGTAGGATGCAATTTGAACTGTATTCAAGTGTATATCACTAAATTCAGCTTTGAAAAAAACAGTTGCGCCATCAGAATTGCTGTTAAAACTTTGGTTCGTTTTCATCATATGACTCTTGACAACAAACCTAAACATCTCTCAAATTATATGTTCCCTAGTGGAGAGACAACAACCAGGAAGAGATGTTGTGTTCTTGTTGGATGGAACTGATAGTACAAGAAGTGGATTCCCAGCCATGCAAGACTTTGTCCAAAGAGTAGTAGAGAAACTCAGTGTGGACGACAACAAAGACCGTGTCTCAGTGGTGCAGTACAGCAGCGATCCAGCTGTCAATTTCTATCTGAACACATACACGACAAAAGGAGAAATCCTTGACACAGTCAGAGGTTTGAAACACAAAGGTGGAAGACCCCTCAACACTGGAGCAGCTCTCCAGTACTTGAGGGATAATGTCTTTACAGCCTCTGCTGGAAGCAGGCGCCTAGAAGGAGTTCCACAGATCCTGTTATTGCTAAGTGGCGGAAAGTCTTTTGACAGTGTTGATGCACCAGCCTCTGATCTCAAACAGCTGGGTGTCTTGACCTTCGCAATTGGAACCAGGAGCTCTGATAGCAGAGAACTGGAAAAGATATCCCACGGTCCCAATTTTGTTCTATCTGTGTCTGATTTCAATGACCTTCCCAGTATCCAACAGCAACTTCAGTCCTCAGTGGAGGCTGTGGTTATAGACGTCACCCCACAAACCCCAACTGTACTTGGTATGTTAACAAGCATGTCCTCTTGTTGGCCTGAAGCCTACCTGACTTATTTGACCTACTTTGTACTTTTAAATAGAGAGGGTGCCGGTTTTCTTTTCACTATTTAAAATTAAAGTAATCATTGCGAGGTGCTTTCAAAAAGATAGTCCACATCTTGAGAACTATTCCATGCACATATTATTGCAAAGGTTTTAATATTTTGTCTTCCTGTCTTTTCTCAGTTGACACTGCCAAAAAGGACATTGTGTTCCTTCTGGATGGCTCTGATAGCACAAGGAATGGCTTCCCTGCCATGCGTGATTTTGTTGAGAGGGTGGTGGAGAAACTCAATGTGGGAGAGAACAGAGACCGTGTCTCTGTAGTACAGTACAGCAAAGATGCAGAGGTCCATTTCTACTTGAAAACATACAGCACAAAAGAGGATATTGTTGATTCGGTTAGAGGGTTGAGACACAAAGGAGGCAGACCCCTCAACACCGGGGCTGCCCTCCAATACGTCAGAGAATATGTCTTTACAAACTCCTCCGGGAGTAGGCGCCTGCAGGGTGTTCCACAGATGTTGATCCTGCTAAATGGTGGAAGGTCTTTTGACAATGTAGACACCCCAGCCTCTGCTCTCAAACAGCAGGGCATCATTGTGCTTGGTATTGGAACAAGGAACTCTGACAGTGGAGAGCTGAGGAAGATATCATATGACCCTAGTTACGCTCTATCAGTGTCTGAGTTTACTGACCTCCCCAGTGTCCAAGAACAGCTCTCCTCTGTGATGAGCACAGTGCTAGTGAGAGCTACGCCGGTAACACCAACAGAAACTGGTAAGAAAGTGACTTACTTACATTCCAAAATCATGGTAGGATGCAATTTGAACTGTATTCAAGTGTATATCACTAAATTCAGCTTTGAAAAAAACAGTTGCGCCATCAGAATTGCTGTTAAAACTTTGGTTCGTTTTCATCATATGACTCTTGACAACAAACCTAAACATCTCTCAAATTATATGTTCCCTAGTGGAGAGACAACAACCAGGAAGAGATGTTGTGTTCTTGTTGGATGGAACTGATAGTACAAGAAGTGGATTCCCAGCCATGCAAGACTTTGTCCAAAGAGTAGTAGAGAAACTCAGTGTGGACGACAACAAAGACCGTGTCTCAGTGGTGCAGTACAGCAGAGATCCAGCTGTCAATTTCTATCTGAACACATACACGACAAAAGGAGAAATCCTTGACACAGTCAGAGGTTTGAAACACAAAGGTGGAAGACCCCTCAACACTGGAGCAGCTCTCCAGTACTTGAGGGATAATGTCTTTACAGCCTCTGCTGGAAGCAGGCGCCTAGAAGGAGTTCCACAGATCCTGTTATTGCTAAGTGGCGGAAAGTCTTTTGACAGTGTTGATGCACCAGCCTCTGATCTCAAACAGCTGGGTGTCTTGACCTTCGCGATTGGAACCAGGAGCTCTGATAGCAGAGAACTGGAAAAGATATCCCACGGTCCCAATTTTGTTCTATCTGTGTCTGATTTCAATGACCTTCCCAGTATCCAACAGCAACTTCAGTCCTCGGTGGAGGCTGTGGTTATAGACGTCACCCCACAAACCCCAACTGTACTTGGTATGTTAACAAGCATGTCCTCTTGTTGGCCTGAAGCCTACCTGACTTATTTGACCTACTTTGTACTTTTAAATAGAGAGGGTGCCAGTTTTCTTTTCACTATTTAAAATTAAAGTAATCATTGCGAGGTGCTTTCAAAAAGATAGTCCACATCTTGAGAACTATTCCATGCACATATTATTGCAAAGGTTTTAATATTTTGTCTTCCTGTCTTTTCTCAGTTGACACTGCCAAAAAGGACATTGTGTTCCTTCTGGATGGCTCTGATAGCACAAGGAATGGCTTCCCTGCCATGCGTGATTTTGTTGAGAGGGTGGTGGAGAAACTCAATGTGGGAGAGAACAGAGACCGTGTCTCTGTAGTACAGTACAGCAAAGATGCAGAGGTCCATTTCTACTTGAAAACATACAGCACAAAAGAGGATATTGTCGATTCGGTTAGAGGGTTGAGACACAAAGGAGGCAGACCCCTCAACACCGGGGCTGCCCTCCAATACGTCAGAGAATATGTCTTTACAAACTCCTCCGGGAGTAGGCGCCTGCAGGGTGTTCCACAGATGTTGATCCTGCTAAATGGTGGAAGGTCTTTTGACAATGTAGACACCCCAGCCTCTGCTCTCAAACAGCAGGGCATCATTGTGCTTGGTATTGGAACAAGGAACTCTGACAGTGGAGAGCTGAGGAAGATATCATATGACCCTAGTTACGCTCTATCAGTGTCTGAGTTTACTGACCTCCCCAGTGTCCAAGAACAGCTCTCCTCTGTGATGAGCACAGTGCTAGTTAGAGCTACGCCGGTAACACCAACAGAAACTGGTAAGAAAGTGACTTACTTACATTCCAAAATCATGGTAGGATGCAATTTGAACTGTATTCAAGTGTATATCACTAAATTCAGCTTTGAAAAAAACAGTTGCGCCATCAGAATTGCTGTTAAAACTTTGGTTCGTTTTCATCATATGACTCTTGACAACAAACCTAAACATCTCTCAAATTATATGTTCCCTAGTGGAGAGACAACAACCAGGAAGAGATGTTGTGTTCTTGTTGGATGGAACTGATAGTACAAGAAGTGGATTCCCAGCCATGCGAGACTTTGTCCAAAGAGTAGTAGAGAAACTCAGTGTGGACGACAACAAAGACCGTGTCTCAGTGGTGCAGTACAGCAGAGATCCAGCTGTCAATTTCTATCTGAACACATACACGACAAAAGGAGAAATCCTTGACACAGTCAGAGGTTTGAAACACAAAGGTGGAAGACCCCTCAACACTGGAGCAGCTCTCCAGTACTTGAGGGATAATGTCTTTACAGCCTCTGCTGGAAGCAGGCGCCTAGAAGGAGTTCCACAGATCCTGTTATTGCTAAGTGGCGGAAAGTCTTTTGACAGTGTTGATGCACCAGCCTCTGATCTCAAACAGCTGGGTGTCTTGACCTTCGCGATTGGAACCAGGAGCTCTGATAGCAGAGAACTGGAAAAGATATCCCACGGTCCCAATTTTGTTCTATCTGTGTCTGATTTCAATGACCTTCCCAGTATCCAACAGCAACTTCAGTCCTCGGTGGAGGCTGTGGTTATAGACGTCACCCCACAAACCCCAACTGTACTTGGTATGTTAACAAGCATGTCCTCTTGTTGGCCTGAAGCCTACCTGACTTATTTGACCTACATTGTACTTTTAAATAGAGAGGGTGCCAGTTTTCTTTTCACTATTTAAAATTAAAGTAATCATTGCTAGGTGCTTTCAAAAAGATAGTCCACATCTTGAGAACTATTCCATGCACATATTATTGCAAAGGTTTTAATATTTTGTCTTCCTGTCTTTTCTCAGTTGACACTGCCAAAAAGGACATTGTGTTCCTTCTGGATGGCTCTGATAGCACAAGGAATGGCTTCCCTGCCATGCGTGATTTTGTTGAGAGGGTGGTGGAGAAACTCAATGTGGGAGAGAACAGAGACCGTGTCTCTGTAGTACAGTACAGCAAAGATGCAGAGGTCCATTTCTACTTGACAACATACAGCACAAAAGAGGATATTGTTCGATTCGGTTAGAGGGTTGAGACACAAAGGAGGCAGACCCCTCAACACCGGGGCTGCCCTCCAATACGTCAGAGAATATGTCTTTACAAACTCCTCCGGGAGTAGGCGCCTGCAGGGTGTTCCACAGATGTTGATCCTGCTAAATGGTGGAAGGTCTTTTGACAATGTAGACACCCCAGCCTCTGCTCTCAAACAGCAGGGCATCATTGTGCTTGGTATTGGAACAAGGAACTCTGACAGTGGAGAGCTGAGGAAGATATCATATGACCCTAGTTACGCTCTATCAGTGTCTGAGTTTACTGACCTCCCCAGTGTCCAAGAACAGCTCTCCTCTGTGATGAGCACAGTGCTAGTTAGAGCTACGCCGGTAACACCAACAGAAACTGGTAAGAAAGTGACTTACTTACATTCCAAAATCATGGTAGGATGCAATTTGAACTGTATTCAAGTGTATATCACTAAATTCAGCTTTGAAAAAAACAGTTGCGCCATCAGAATTGCTGTTAAAACTTCGGTTCGTTTTCATCATATGACTCTTGACAACAAACCTAAACATCTCTCAAATTCTATGTTCCCTAGTGGAGAGACAACAACCAGGAAGAGATGTTGTGTTCTTGTTGGATGGAACTGATAGTACAAGAAGTGGATTCCCAGCCATGCGAGACTTTGTCCAAAGAGTAGTAGAGAAACTCAGTGTGGACGACAACAAAGACCGTGTCTCAGTGGTGCAGTACAGCAGAGATCCAGCTGTCAATTTCTATCTGAACACATACACGACAAAAGGAGAAATCCTTGACACAGTCAGAGGTTTGAAACACAAAGGTGGAAGACCCCTCAACACTGGAGCAGCTCTCCAGTACTTGAGGGATAATGTCTTTACAGCCTCTGCTGGAAGCAGGCAGCCTAGAAGGAGTTCCACAGATCCTGTTATTGCTAAGTGGCGGAAAGTCTTTTGACAGTGTTGATGCACCAGCCTCTGATCTCAAACAGCTGGGTGTCTTGACCTTCGCGATTGGAACCAGGAGCTCTGATAGCAGAGAACTGGAAAAGATATCCCACGGTCCCAATTTTGTTCTATCTGTGTCTGATTTCAATGACCTTCCCAGTATCCAACAGCAACTTCAGTCCTCAGGTGGAGGCTGTGGTTATAGACGTCACCCCACAAACCCCAACTGTACTTGGTATGTTAACAAGCATGTCCTCTTGTTGGCCTGAAGCCTACCTGACTTATTTGACCTACATTGTACTTTTAAATAGAGAGGGTGCCAGTTTTCTTTTCACTATTTAAAATTAAAGTAATCATTGCTAGGTGCTTTCAAAAAGATAGTCCACATCTTGAGAACTATTCCATGCACATATTATTGCAAAGGTTTTAATATTTTGTCTTCCTGTCTTTTCTCAGTTGACACTGCCAAAAAGGACATTGTGTTCCTTCTGGATGGCTCTGATAGCACAAGGAATGGCTTCCCTGCCATGCGTGATTTTGTTGAGAGGGTGGTGGAGAAACTCAATGTGGGAGAGAACAGAGACCGTGTCTCTGTAGTACAGTACAGCAAAGATGCAGAGGTCCATTTCTACTTGAAAACATACAGCACAAAAGAGGATATTGTTGATTCGGTTAGAGGGTTGAGACACAAAGGAGGCAGACCCCTCAACACCGGGGCTGCCCTCCAATACGTCAGAGAATATGTCTTTACAAACTCCTCCGGGAGTAGGCGCCTGCAGGGTGTTCCACAGATGTTGATCCTGCTAAATGGTGGAAGGTCTTTTGACAATGTAGACACCCCAGCCTCTGCTCTCAAACAGCAGGGCATCATTGTGCTTGGTATTGGAACAAGGAACTCTGACAGTGGAGAGCTGAGGAAGATATCATATGACCCTAGTTACGCTCTATCAGTGTCTGAGTTTACTGACCTCCCCAGTGTCCAAGAACAGCTCTCCTCTGTGATGAGCACAGTGCTAGTGAGAGCTACGCCGGTAACACCAACAGAAACTGGTAAGAAAGTGACTTACTTACATTCCAAAATCATGGTAGGATGCAATTTGAACTGTATTCAAGTGTATATCACTAAATTCAGCTTTGAAAAAAACAGTTGCGCCATCAGAATTGCTGTTAAAACTTCGGTTCGTTTTCATCATATGACTCTTGACAACAAACCTAAACATCTCTCAAATTCTATGTTCCCTAGTGGAGAGACAACAACCAGGAAGAGATGTTGTGTTCTTGTTGGATGGAACTGATAGTACAAGAAGTGGATTCCCAGCCATGCGAGACTTTGTCCAAAGAGTAGTAGAGAAACTCAGTGTGGACGACAACAAAGACCGTGTCTCAGTGGTGCAGTACAGCAGAGATCCAGCTGTCAATTTCTATCTGAACACATACACGACAAAAGGAGAAATCCTTGACACAGTCAGAGGTTTGAAACACAAAGGTGGAAGACCCCTCAACACTGGAGCAGCTCTCCAGTACTTGAGGGATAATGTCTTTACAGCCTCTGCTGGAAGCAGGCACCTAGAAGGAGTTCCACAGATCCTGTTATTGCTAAGTGGCGGAAAGTCTTTTGACAGTGTTGATGCACCAGCCTCTGATCTCAAACAGCTGGGTGTCTTGACCTTCGCGATTGGAACCAGGAGCTCTGATAGCAGAGAACTGGAAAAGATATCCCACGGTCCCAATTTTGTTCTATCTGTGTCTGATTTCAATGACCTTCCCAGTATCCAACAGCAACTTCAGTCCTCGGTGGAGGCTGTGGTTATAGACGTCACCCCACAAACCCCAACTGTACTTGGTATGTTAACAAGCATGTCCTCTTGTTGGCCTGAAGCCTACCTGACTTATTTGACCTACATTGCACTTTTAAATAGAGAGGGTGCCGGTTTTCTTTTCACATTTTAAAATTAAAGTAGTCATTGCTAGGTGCTTTCAAAAAGATAGTCCACATCTTGAGAACTATTCCATGCACATATTATTGTAAATGTTTTCATATTTTGTCTTCCTGTCTTTTCTCAGTTGACACTGCCAAAAAGGACATTGTGTTCCTTCTGGATGGCTCTGATAGCACAAGGAATGGCTTCCCTGCCATGCGTGATTTTGTTGAGAGGGTGGTGGAGAAACTCAATGTGGGAGAGAACAGAGACCGTGTCTCTGTAGTACAGTACAGCAAAGATGCAGAGGTCCATTTCTACTTGAAAACATACAGCACAAAAGAGGATATTGTTGATTCGGTTAGAGGGTTGAGACACAAAGGAGGCAGACCCCTCAACACCGGGGCTGCCCTCCAATACGTCAGAGAATATGTCTTTACAAACTCCTCCGGGAGTAGGCGCCTGCAGGGTGTTCCACAGATGTTGATCCTGCTAAATGGTGGAAGGTCTTTTGACAATGTAGACACCCCAGCCTCTGCTCTCAAACAGCAGGGCATCATTGTGCTTGGTATTGGAACAAGGAACTCTGACAGTGGACAGCTGAGGAAGATATCATATGACCCTAGTTACGCTCTATCAGTGTCTGAGTTTACTGACCTCCCCAGTGTCCAAGAACAGCTCTCCTCTGTGATGAGCACAGTGCTAGTGAGAGCTACGCCGGTAACACCAACAGAAACTGGTAAGAAAGTGACTTACTTACATTCCAAAATCATGGTAGGATGCAATTTGAACTGTATTCAAGTGTATATCACTAAATTCAGCTTTGAAAAAAACAGTTGCGCCATCAGAATTGCTGTTAAAACTTCGGTTCGTTTTCATCATATGACTCTTGACAACAAACCTAAACATCTCTCAAATTCTATGTTCCCTAGTGGAGAGACAACAACCAGGAAGAGATGTTGTGTTCTTGTTGGATGGAACTGATAGTACAAGAAGTGGATTCCCAGCCATGCAAGACTTTGTCCAAAGAGTAGTAGAGAAACTCAGTGTGGACGACAACAAAGACCGTGTCTCAGTGGTGCAGTACAGCAGAGATCCAGCTGTCAATTTCTATCTGAACACATACACGACAAAAGGAGAAATCCTTGACACAGTCAGAGGTTTGAAACACAAAGGTGGAAGACCCCTCAACACTGGAGCAGCTCTCCAGTACTTGAGGGATAATGTCTTTACAGCCTCTGCTGGAAGCAGGCACCTAGAAGGAGTTCCACAGATCCTGTTATTGCTAAGTGGCGGAAAGTCTTTTGACAGTGTTGATGCACCAGCCTCTGATCTCAAACAGCTGGGTGTCTTGACCTTCGCGATTGGAACCAGGAGCTCTGATAGCAGAGAACTGGAAAAGATATCCCACGGTCCCAATTTTGTTCTATCTGTGTCTGATTTCAATGACCTTCCCAGTATCCAACAGCAACTTCAGTCCTCGGTGGAGGCTGTGGTTATAGACGTCACCCCACAAACCCCAACTGTACTTGGTATGTTAACAAGCATGTCCTCTTGTTGGCCTGAAGCCTACCTGACTTATTTGACCTACATTGTACTTTTAAATAGAGAGGGTGCCAGTTTTCTTTTCACTATTTAAAATTAAAGTAATCATTGCTAGGTGCTTTCAAAAAGATAGTCCACATCTTGAGAACTATTCCATGCACATATTATTGCAAAGGTTTTAATATTTTGTGTTCCTGTCTTTTCTCAGTTGACACTGCCAAAAAGGACATTGTGTTCCTTCTGGATGGCTCTGATAGCACAAGGAATGGCTTCCCTGCCATGCGTGATTTTGTTGAGAGGGTGGTGGAGAAACTCAATGTGGGAGAGAACAGAGACCGTGTCTCTGTAGTACAGTACAGCAAAGATGCAGAGGTCCATTTCTACTTGAAAACATACAGCACAAAAGAGGATATTGTTCGATTCGGTTAGAGGGTTGAGACACAAAGGAGGCAGACCCCTCAACACCGGGGCTGCCCTCCAATACGTCAGAGAATATGTCTTTACAAACTCCTCCGGGAGTAGGCGCCTGCAGGGTGTTCCACAGATGTTGATCCTGCTAAATGGTGGAAGGTCTTTTGACAATGTAGACACCCCAGCCTCTGCTCTCAAACAGCAGGGCATCATTGTGCTTGGTATTGGAACAAGGAACTCTGACAGTGGAGAGCTGAGGAAGATATCATATGACCCTAGTTACGCTCTATCAGTGTCTGAGTTTACTGACCTCCCCAGTGTCCAAGAACAGCTCTCCTCTGTGATGAGCACAGTGCTAGTGAGAGCTACGCCGGTAACACCAACAGAAACTGGTAAGAAAGTGACTTACTTACATTCCAAAATCATGGTAGGATGCAATTTGAACTGTATTCAAGTGTATATCACTAAATTCAGCTTTGAAAAAAACAGTTGCGCCATCAGAATTGCTGTTAAAACTTCGGTTCGTTTTCATCATATGACTCTTGACAACAAACCTAAACATCTCTCAAATTATATGTTCCCTAGTGGAGAGACAACAACCAGGAAGAGATGTTGTGTTCTTGTTGGATGGAACTGATAGTACAAGAAGTGGATTCCCAGCCATGCGAGACTTTGTCCAAAGAGTAGTAGAGAAACTCAGTGTGGACGACAACAAAGACCGTGTCTCAGTGGTGCAGTACAGCAGAGATCCAGCTGTCAATTTCTATCTGAACACATACACGACAAAAGGAGAAATCCTTGACACAGTCAGAGGTTTGAAACACAAAGGTGGAAGACCCCTCAACACTGGAGCAGCTCTCCAGTACTTGAGGGATAATGTCTTTACAGCCTCTGCAGGAAGCAGGCGCCTAGAAGGAGTTCCACAGATCCTGTTATTGCTAAGTGGCGGAAAGTCTTTTGACAGTGTTGATGCACCAGCCTCTGATCTCAAACAGCTGGGTGTCTTGACCTTCGCGATTGGAACCAGGAGCTCTGATAGCAGAGAACTGGAAAAGATATCCCACGGTCCCAATTTTGTTCTATCTGTGTCTGATTTCAATGACCTTCCCAGTATCCAACAGCAACTTCAGTCCTCGGTGGAGGCTGTGGTTATAGACGTCACCCCACAAACCCCAACTGTACTTGGTATGTTAACAAGCATGTCCTCTTGTTGGCCTGAAGCCTACCTGACTTATTTGACCTACATTGCACTTTTAAATAGAGAGGGTGCCGGTTTTCTTTTCACATTTTAAAATTAAAGTAGTCATTGCTAGGTGCTTTCAAAAAGATAGTCCACATCTTGAGAACTATTCCATGCACATATTATTGTAAATGTTTTCATATTTTGTCTTCCTGTCTTTTCTCAGTTGACACTGCCAAAAAGGACATTGTGTTCCTTCTGGATGGCTCTGATAGCACAAGGAATGGCTTCCCTGCCATGCGTGATTTTGTTGAGAGGGTGGTGGAGAAACTCAATGTGGGAGAGAACAGAGACCGTGTCTCTGTAGTACAGTACAGCAAAGATGCAGAGGTCCATTTCTACTTGAAAACATACAGCACAAAAGAGGATATTGTTGATTCGGTTAGAGGGTTGAGACACAAAGGAGGCAGACCCCTCAACACCGGGGCTGCCCTCCAATACGTCAGAGAATATGTCTTTACAAACTCCTCCGGGAGTAGGCGCCTGCAGGGTGTTCCACAGATGTTGATCCTGCTAAATGGTGGAAGGTCTTTTGACAATGTAGACACCCCAGCCTCTGCTCTCAAACAGCAGGGCATCATTGTGCTTGGTATTGGAACAAGGAACTCTGACAGTGGAGAGCTGAGGAAGATATCATATGACCCTAGTTACGCTCTATCAGTGTCTGAGTTTACTGACCTCCCCAGTGTCCAAGAACAGCTCTCCTCTCTGATGAGCACAGTGCTAGTTAGAGCTACGCCGGTAACACCAACAGAAACTGGTAAGAAAGTGACTTACTTACATTCCAAAATCATGGTAGGATGCAATTTGAACTGTATTCAAGTGTATATCACTAAATTCAGCTTTGAAAAAAACAGTTGCGCCATCAGAATTGCTGTTAAAACTTTGGTTCGTTTTCATCATATGACTCTTGACAACAAACCTAAACATCTCTCAAATTCTATGTTCCCTAGTGGAGAGACAACAACCAGGAAGAGATGTTGTGTTCTTGTTGGATGGAACTGATAGTACAAGAAGTGGATTCCCAGCCATGCGAGACTTTGTCCAAAGAGTAGTAGAGAAACTCAGTGTGGACAACAACAAAGACCGTGTCTCAGTGGTGCAGTACAGCAGAGATCCAGCTGTCAATTTCTATCTGAACACATACACGACAAAAGGAGAAATCCTTGACACAGTCAGAGGTTTGAAACACAAAGGCGGAAGACCCCTCAACACTGGAGCAGCTCTCCAGTACTTGAGGGATAATGTCTTTACAGCCTCTGCTGGAAGCAGGCACCTAGAAGGAGTTCCACAGATCCTGTTATTGCTAAGTGGCGGAAAGTCTTTTGACAGTGTTGATGCACCAGCCTCTGATCTCAAACAGCTGGGTGTCTTGACCTTCGCGATTGGAACCAGGAGCTCTGATAGCAGAGAACTGGAAAAGATATCCCACGGTCCCAATTTTGTTCTATCTGTGTCTGATTTCAATGACCTTCCCAGTATCCAACAGCAACTTCAGTCCTCGGTGGAGGCTGTGGTTATAGACGTCACCCCACAAACCCCAACTGTACTTGGTATGTTAACAAGCATGTCCTCTTGTTGGCCTGAAGCCTACCTGACTTATTTGACCTACATTGCACTTTTAAATAGAGAGGGTGCCAGTTTTCTTTTCACTATTTAAAATTAAAGTAATCATTGCTAGGTGCTTTTAAAAAGATAGTCCACATCTTGAGAACTATTCCATGCACATATTATTGCAAAGGTTTTCATATTTTGTCTTCCTGTCTTTTCTCAGTTGACACTGCCAAAAAGGACATTGTGTTCCTTCTGGATGGCTCTGATAGCACAAGGAATGGCTTCCCTGCCATGCGTGATTTTGTTGAGAGGGTGGTGGAGAAACTCAATGTGGGAGAGAACAGAGACCGTGTCTCTGTAGTACAGTACAGCAAAGATGCAGAGGTCCATTTCTACTTGAAAACATACAGCACAAAAGAGGATATTGTTGATTCGGTTAGAGGGTTGAGACACAAAGGAGGCAGACCCCTCAACACCGGGGCTGCCCTCCAATACGTCAGAGAATATGTCTTTATAAACTCCTCTGGGAGTAGGCGCCTGCAGGGTGTTCCACAGATGTTGATCCTGCTAAATGGTGGAAGGTCTTTTGACAATGTAGACACCCCAGCCTCTGCTCTCAAACAGCAGGGCATCATTGTGCTTGGTATTGGAACAAGGAACTCTGACAGTGGAGAGCTGAGGAAGATATCATATGACCCTAGTTACGCTCTATCAGTGTCTGAGTTTACTGACCTCCCCAGTGTCCAAGAACAGCTCTCCTCTGTGATGAGCACAGTGCTAGTGAGAGCTACGCCGGTAACACCAACAGAAACTGGTAAGAAAGTGACTTACTTACATTCCAAAATCATGGTAGGATGCAATTTGAACTGTATTCAAGTGTATATCACTAAATTCAGCTTTGAAAAAAACAGTTGCGCCATCAGAATTGCTGTTAAAACTTTGGTTCGTTTTCATCATATGACTCTTGACAACAAACCTAAACATCTCTCAAATTCTATGTTCCCTAGTGGAGAGACAACAATCAGGAAGAGATGTTGTGTTCTTGTTGGATGGAACTGATAGTACAAGAAGTGGATTCCCAGCCATGCAAGACTTTGTCCAAAGAGTAGTAGAGAAACTCAGTGTGGACGACAACAAAGACCGTGTCTCAGTGGTGCAGTACAGCAGAGATCCAGCTGTCAATTTCTATCTGAACACATACACGACAAAAGGAGAAATCCTTGACACAGTCAGAGGTTTGAAACACAAAGGTGGAAGACCCCTCAACACTGGAGCAGCTCTCCAGTACTTGAGGGATAATGTCTTTACAGCCTCTGCTGGAAGCAGGCGCCTAGAAGGAGTTCCACAGATCCTGTTATTGCTAAGTGGCGGAAAGTCTTTTGACAGTGTTGATGCACCAGCCTCTGATCTCAAACAGCTGGGTGTCTTGACCTTCGCAATTGGAACCAGGAGCTCTGATAGCAGAGAACTGGAAAAGATATCCCACGGTCCCAATTTTGTTCTATCTGTGTCTGATTTCAATGACCTTCCCAGTATCCAACAGCAACTTCAGTCCTCGGTGGAGGCTGTGGTTATAGACGTCACCCCACAAACCCCAACTGTACTTGGTATGTTATCAAGCATGTCCTCTTGTTGGCCTAAAGCCTACTTGACTTATCTGACCTACATTGTACTTTTAAATAGAGAGGGTGCCAGTTTTCTTTTCACTGCTTAAAATTAAAGTAATCATTGCGAGGTGCTTTCAAAAAGATAGTCCACATCTTCAGAACTATTCCATGCACATATTATTGCAAAGGTTTTCATATTTTGTCTTCCTGTCTTTTCTCAGTTGACACTGCCAAAAAGGACATTGTGATCCTTCTGGATGGCTCTGATAGCACAAGGAATGGCTTCCCTGCCATGCGTGATTTTGTTGAGAGGGTGGTGGAGAAACTCAATGTGGGAGAGAACAGAGACCGTGTCTCTGTAGTACAGTACAGCAAAGATGCAGAGGTCCATTTCTACTTGAAAACATACAGCACAAAAGAGGATATTGTTGATTCGGTTAGAGGGTTGAGACACAAAGGAGGCAGACCCCTCAACACCGGGGCTGCCCTCCAATACGTCAGAGAATATGTCTTTACAAACTCCTCCGGGAGTAGGCGCCTGCAGGGTGTTCCACAGATGTTGATCCTGCTAAATGGTGGAAGGTCTTTTGACAATGTAGACACCCCAGCCTCTGCTCTCAAACAGCAGGGCATCATTGTGCTTGGTATTGGAACAAGGAACTCTGACAGTGGAGAGCTGAGGAAGATATCATATGACCCTAGTTACGCTCTATCAGTGTCTGAGTTTACTGACCTCCCCAGTGTCCAAGAACAGCTCTCCTCTGTGATGAGCACAGTGCTAGTGAGAGCTACGCCGGTAACACCAACAGAAACTGGTAAGAAAGTGACTTACTTACATTCCAAAATCATGGTAGGATGCAATTTGAACTGTATTCAAGTGTATATCACTAAATTCAGCTTTGAAAAAAACCGTTGCGCCATCAGAATTGCTGTTAAAACTTTGGTTCGTTTTCATCATATGACTCTTGACAACAAACCTAAACATCTCTCAAATTCTATGTTCCCTAGTGGAGAGACAACAACCAGGAAGAGATGTTGTGTTCTTGTTGGATGGAACTGATAGTACAAGAAGTGGATTCCCAGCCATGCAAGACTTTGTCCAAAGAGTAGTAGAGAAACTCAGTGTGGACGACAACAAAGACCGTGTCTCAGTGGTGCAGTACAGCAGAGATCCAGCTGTCAATTTCTATCTGAACACATACACGACAAAAGGAGAAATCCTTGACACAGTCAGAGGTTTGAAACACAAAGGTGGAAGACCCCTCAACACTGGAGCAGCTCTCCAGTACTTGAGGGATAATGTCTTTACAGCCTCTGCTGGAAGCAGGCGCCTAGAAGGAGTTCCACAGATCCTGTTATTGCTAAGTGGCGGAAAGTCTTTTGACAGTGTTGATGCACCAGCCTCTGATCTCAAACAGCTGGGTGTCTTGACCTTCGCGATTGGAACCAGGAGCTCTGATAGCAGAGAACTGGAAAAGATATCCCACGGTCCCAATTTTGTTCTGTCTGAGTCTGATTTCACTGACCTTCCCAGTATCCAACAGCAACTTCAGTCCTCGGTGGAGGCTGCTGTCATTCAGCTCTCCCAAGAAACACTTGGTATGTTGAATTAAAAAGGCCACCAGACTTGTATGCCATCAATGCAATGTATTATACTCCAAGCACTCGTTCTCACCTTATTTAGATGACGGCTGAAAAACCAGAATGAGCAGGGTTCTCACTCTATTTATTAATATTTTAATTTGATTTCCTATTCAGTCAGCATAAAGTTGTTGGTCCTACAAAAAATTGATTGCGTTGATCAGAGGTGAATCAGATGTGTGTATGCTGCAAAGTACGTTTGTCTCAACTTTGTGACCTCTTAAACAATGCATAACTCAATACGTGTTGAATAAATGTGTTTGAAGTAAGTGATGCAAAAATCATAAAAGTTTAAAGCAACAGTTTAGGTAGACATTCGATATATTTTACTTTGCATAAACGTTGCCTTTAATATTGTGTGTTATGGGTGATCACAGACAATATGGCTAATTCTTTCTTAATTGGTTATTCATATGTTTGATAAATCTGCAGCCTACTGAAGATGAAGAAGTTTCGCAATAGAGTGCAGTGCTTGATTCTGAGGACTCTTGAATCTGAGTCTCAGGAAACAAAGCCTACATTGGAATGCTTATCTTGCAAACTCAAACAAGAGTCTTTATGAGTTGATTTTTTCTTTTTGCTAGCAGCTGCATTCTCTCTTTGAGCAAATGTATATTCTTATTGATCTTTTTAATTTCTTTCTGTCTTTCAGCTGAGACACAGGGACCCCGGAAGGATGTCGTTTTCCTCGTTGATGGATCTGATGGTGTTGGACTTGAATTTCCCATCATCCAGGAGTTTATCCGCAGGGTTGTTGGTACTCTCAATGTGGGCGAAAACAAGATCCGGATTGGCGTGGTCCAGTATGGTGACTTTGCCCAAGTTGACATGTATCTGAACACACATAAAACCAAAGAAGGTGTTTTGAATGCGGTCAAGGAAATGAGGCATCGAGGAGGAAGACAACGTAACCTGGGTCAGGCCTTGCAGTTTGTCAATCAAGATGCTCTGACACCTGCCCATGGTAGCAGGAAGCAAGAGGGTGTACCACAGTTTGTTATTGTCGTCTCAAGTGGGTCTTCCACAGATGACATCAATGTTGCAGCATCTTCCCTCAAACAATCCAGAGTTCTTCCCTTCTCCATTGGGACCAGGGATGTCAACCCTACAGAGCTTCAGGTGGTGTCATACGTGCCTAACTTTGCCTTCAGTGTAGATGATCTGCCTGGCCTGTACACAGTCCAAGAAAACTTAATCACCACACTCACTGAGCTGTCAGATGATGACATCAACAGTTTGCGTCCAGTATTCCCAACCATTGAAGGTAATTTGTATTCTATGGTTTAATAAATTGATTTACTGCCTAAACATTCTCACATACCCCAATCCAATACTTTATTATAGTATGTTATTTGCCTTATTTTTTTACATGATTATTGACTTTCTCAGTCATACTGTATATCCTCTACACCATGTCTATTAGAAACACTCTAATAAGTAATGTTACCTTTTTACTGTGCTTGCATTGTTTTGGAGCAGTGATCGAACCACAGCTCACAGGAGGAGAAAAGAGGGATGTCGTGTTTCTGATTGATGGCACAACAGCAGTGCGTAGTGAGTTCCCTTCCATCCGTGAAATGATTGGAAGAGTTGTGGAGAAGCTGGATGTAGGATTGGATAAGGTCCGAATTTCAGTGGTACAGTACAGTGATGATCCGAAGCCCGAATTTCTTCTGAATGAATTCTCTACCAAAGATGAGGTACGACAGGCTGTGACGAAACTGCGAACCAAAGGTGGAAACCGTCTTAACACAGGTCGTGCTCTTGAGTATGTCCACAGAAATATCTACCAGAGATCAGCGGGTAGCCGCATCGAGGATGGTGTGCCTCAGTTCCTGATTCTAGTTACAGGTGGCAAATCTTCTGATGATGTATCCACTGCAGCTGACCAACTTAAAAGAAGCCAGGTTGCACCTCTTGCAATTGGTTCAAGGAATGCAGACCCTGATGAACTGAAACAGATTTCCCTGAGGCCTGATCTGGCATACACAGTTGACAGTTTCCAGCAGCTTCCAAGTGTGGAGCCACAGGTCATTAATTCAGTGAAAACAATATCCACCACTGACATCATCAACAGTTATGTTCCTCCCCAAGTGGACTTGGGTAAGAAATACTATCTCATATATTCATGGTTAAGTTAACTTCAAGTTGTAAATGCTCATAAAACATTGCTTAAACATGTCTTTATAATTTGCTCAGGGCTTAGTAGTATGTGTTTAAGGGTTTAGGGCAGTGTTCACCCATCCACTACTGCATGCCTCCAGACCTAAGTTTTGTTAAGGAGTGGTGTTAAAGTCATAAATATCTTTTCAGTCATTTAATAATATATTTCAAAATGAAGTATGTCTCTTTTTCCCTCTGTGCTTAATGTGCAGGCCCAACCCTAAATCTTGGGAGAAAGGACATCATCTTCCTTATTGATGGCTCAGACAATACAGGTGCTGCTGGAATTGCACATATCCGTGACTTCATCTTCAACATTGTCCAACAACTCGATGTGCAGCCTGATCAAGTGCGTGTTGCTGTTGTCCAGTATGCAGACAGAGTAAATACAGAGTTCTCACTCAATTCTCACAACAACAAGCCAGCTGTTGTTTCTGCTGTTAAAAGACTTCGTCAGATGGGTGGCCGGTCATCAAATCTGGCTGATGCCATTGAATACGTCATAAATAATGAGTTAAAGGCCGCTACTGGTGCTCGTCCTGCAGCCTCCCAGCATCTTGTGGTTCTCACAGGTGGACGTTCCCGCCAAGATGTTGCTCTTTATGGACCTCTGCTTAAGAGCTCCCGGGTCAACTGCATTGGTGTTGGAGCAGCTGGTGCTGACAGAAAACAGCTAAGCCAAATTGCCACCACCTCATCTGATGTCCTTCAGGTTTCTAACTTCCCTGGCCTATCTTCAATCCAGCAGGAGGTTATTGACAGGCTGAGAACCAGCGCTGATGACTTACCCACAGATTATCCAAGTAAGTTGAACAAAATTCACATTCCTAAATATCTCAAGGTCTCACAATGTAATGAGTACATTGTCTAAATGTATTCTCCTGTTCTTACAATTCTCTACCCTGTACTCACCAATTTCGCCTCTCTCTTCTTAGTATCAACAGGCATGCCATCCAAAAAGGCTGATATAGTGTTTTTGGTGGATGGCTCCATTAACTTGGGAAGGGACAACTTCAATGAAGTGATGATGTTTATCACCAACCTAATTGATCTGTTCTACAATGAGCAAGACAACCTTCAGATCGGCTTGGCACATTATACCACAGATGTTACTGATGTATTCTACCTCAACACATACAAGAACAAGCAAGACATTGTAAGTGCCATTGGCCGAGTAGAATACAAAGGTGGACGTAGAATCAACACTGGTGCAGCCATTCGCCACATTCAAGATGTTTACTTTACCAAAGAAAAAGGCAGTAGGATGGATGATGGCACTCCTCAGATCCTTATGGTTCTCACTGGAGGACGTTCAGCTGATGATGGAAAAACAGCAGCTCTTGGTTTGAAGAATAAAGGTGTGAGAGTCTTTGCTGTAGGAGTGGGCGACATTGAGGGTGAATTAGAAGACCTAGCAAGCGAGTCCTCCACTGTGGCTAGAGCAAGCACCTATCTGGAACTTTCCGAGCTGAATGAGCAAATCCTGGAGACTTTGGATGATGAAGTGAAAGGGAAGTTGTGTGTTGGTGTGCCAGAATCTACTAAAAGTAAGATATATTGTTTTCTTTCCTACACTTTTTCATGTAATACCTTTCATGAGCTGTTTCACATGTTGCAGCTAAAATGTAAATGTTTCAGTTTCTGTGGTTTAGCCAAAATGCCTAATAACACACGCTCTGTCTTACAGCCTGCAGCATAGAAGTGTTGGTGGGTTTTGATGTTTCTGAACAAGACATCTTCAGTGCTCAGACCAACCTCCAGAGGAGGATGGAAGCCATTCTGAAGAGGATTTCCAAAATGGCAGCTATCAGTTGCTCATCTGGGCAGATTCCGTCTGTCCAAGTGGGCATGCTGGCCATGGACTCTAACTCTAATCCTGTTCAGCTGGACTTTACAGAAAATGATCAAGTTCTCTTTGAGGCCTTCAAAGCCCTACAGATGCGTGGCCCCTTTGTCCTAAATGGAAAGACCATCTCAGCTTACATCGATAGGTTCAAAACCAGACAGAAAAGCGTTGTCAAGGTTGGTTACTGAAACAGTTTTAACAAAAGATATGCCAGGCCAAAATCAAACTTGTAAAAGTTATGATATATTCTGTTATCTAGACTTTAATGTTGCGTTCACACCAGATGCAATGCAAACATTTGCATCGCTTTTCAGTTGTGTTTACTCGCGTCATTCAAACTAGACTCTCTAGCAAGGAGGCGTGGCTTATCTCCATGTAGATACTATTTTAGATACCAACTACAACAAAATTAACATATTTGACTGTGATTTAATTGTAATACATGTTTAAAAATGATGCTGAAATAACGACATACTGATACTAGTTATTCAAAACCATGAGTTAATGAATTTGCGTCTATCTCCTTCCGGTGTGAACGTACCCTAACTCTATCTTTCTTATCAGCAAAGGGCAGTGTGCAACCTGTAGTAGCTATTCATTTTTAGCAAGCACTGACAGTCGCTATTGTTGTTGTTAAGAAATGTAAGCTTTTTCTAATTAACATTAAGTAATTGAGTTTCTTGATGGCAGGCAAACATCAAGCTGGAATGCTGAAAGTGCTTCCTGTAGCCAGTTTATATACTTGTTAAACATTGTTCACAAGACAAGAACCTCCACACTATAACACCGCTGTACAATAAGAGCTCTAGTAAGATGTTTTCTCTCCAGCACACTGCTTCATGTCAGGTTCAGTTGTTTCATTCTCCAAGTTAATCTTCATTCATATTTAATCAACATTTAGGTAACAAATAAAAGCTGAACCCTGTATTTGGACATACAAAATATAAAGACCAGGAAAGAGGATCTGGATATTTTTATTTTAAATGTACTAAACAATAGACCCATGGAGAACATAAGGATGTGTCAAACTGATTTGATTTGTTCTACTTAAGGTTGTTGTTCATCTGACTGATGGTATTGACGCCCAATACGCTGAATTGAAAAAAGGAGTTGAGGAGCTTCAGCAATCAGGTACACAGATGATGCAACAGTCCTTAATGACTATCTATCCTTAAACTTGTGAAATGATCATGTTATATTCATAAGTAATCAATGTTCCTTAAACTCTTCTAATTACAAAACAGGAGTGAACAGTTTCATTCTGGTTGGGCTCGAGCGGGTGCCCAAATTTGAGGAGGCTTTGCTGCTGGAATTTGGTCGCGGATTTAGGTACACCAGACCCTTAAGAGTCAATGTCATGGAATTGGACTATGAGCTGATGGAAGAACTGGTGAGTTCTATTCAGTTAGACGGAAGTATTTTGTGAGCGTTATTATTAAACATTTAATTACTTAACATTTGGGTTTTTGCTGTGTAGGACAATATTGCAGAGAGAGAGTGCTGTGCAGTGCCGTGCAAATGTACCGGCACCAGAGGAGACCGAGGAGCAGTTGGACTTCCAGGAACAAAGGTATGCACATTCACCGGTTCAGAGTTTGACTCAGGTCATTCTTGTTATTTCTATTCATACTATTACTACATGTTTACTCCTATTTTATCTTATTTTATTTGTATGTATTATTATCCCATGTGTACTATCTGTGTTTCTGTCTTATTCTGTTGCTGCTACAACACCTGAATTTCCCTACGGGGATCAATAACGGTCCATCTCATCTTATCTTTTCTTATCTTAACATAATTGTTTTTCAAAAGCTAATGTTTTGGTCATTTCTGTTTTAGGGTGGTCCGGGATTAACAGGAAGCCAAGGACATCCTGGAGATGAGGGAGGACCTGTGAGTTTGAATGCCTCGTCACAGTCTGATGATGTTTCCATCTTTCTTTCCTAATATATCATTATAAAACCATTTTCAAACAATGTTAATCAATATATATATTGTTTTTCACCAACTTTATTTTATTTTCAAATGTACTTTCCTGCTTTATTCTGTATCGGTCATGTATTGTCTTTATTCTGTAATGACAGGGAGAGAGAGGTCCTCCTGGTGTGAATGGAACTCAGGGTTTCCAGGGATGTCCTGGACAAAGGGGTGTCAAGGTAAAGGCTTTGATATTACATTTAACATTCAATTTAAACTAATTTGTTACTTTAAATGTTCAACATTCTTTTTTTGTATTTAATATAATGGGATAAAACAGTTTTTCCTTTTGTTCAGGGTTCTCGTGGCTACTCAGGAGAAAAGGTGAGTATGTTCTCTTAGGAGAACTCGTCATTATTAGATTCTACTGTCAGCAAAGAATGTTGGACTGATAATCTGACAACTGTAAATGTGTTTTAGGGTGAATTTGGAGAAATTGGGCTTGATGGCATTAATGGAGAAGAGGTAAGTGTGTGTTATATTACATTTTGTCATTAAGTCTTTGTGTTTTATATGTAATACATCATACAGATTTGAGAGCTTCTTGTCTTCCCTCCAAAGAGTCGATGTGTGAAAAATATGTGATGTGCTTTGGTTTATGTATGATTATGGGCTTTAATATGCATCTTCTCTATATTTCAGGGCAAAAGTGGAGTGGCTGGACTCTCCGGAGACAGTGGAAACCCTGGCATGAGAGTTAGTGACTGGATACATTACCTTTTACATTTTATATACCCATATTTCTTTACACATATCATATTGCTAGTGCTGATAAATGTTCACATATTGTTCTTAGGGTCCCAAAGGCCTCAAAGGACAAAGTGGAGGCATAGGAGATCAGGGAATCCGAGGAGACCCCGTGAGTACTATGGATGCTGGTTGTACTTCCTTTTACTGCCAGGATCTATAACACATCTACGTTCACTGTGTTAAACAGAGATACTTTAGACAAAGTTAACAGTTCTGTTAAAAAATAATAAGTCCTATACCAGCTGAATGTTGAACTTGAAAAAGTGTTTTCTTACTAATAGGGTACAAGTGGACAAGATAACACCCGTGCAGGACCTAAAGGAGACCCCGGTGATGCAGGACCAGCGGTAACATCCCTCTTAACACATTATAATGCTTTGAAAATGAAAACAAATATCCTGCCAATCCATTTTAAACAGATCCTGCTTGATTGTGTTTACATGCTGGGTTCATTCGGACATTTGCTCTGAAATGACAGGGAGAGCCTGGTGAGGATGGAAAGAAGGGTGGCCCCGGTGAACTTGGAAGAGGGGTAAATCATTTGACCATATCTTCACTATCTTTGTTTAATACTAACATGCAACTGTTTTTTTAATCAAAAGGTTTTTCTACTCCCACTTTATTAGGGACCTAATGGCAGAAGAGGCCCACCTGGACAAGCTGTAAGTCCCTTTATAGTGATACCATACCATATACATATTGCAGTAACTTTTGTAGTTGCAATAACATTTTGCTGTTGGCATGTCGTTAAAGGGAAATCCCGGAAAGCCTGGAGTGGAGGGTGTTCAGGGAGAAGCTGGTATTGGAGGATCTAGAGTAAGTTTGTCCTTCTTTTCATAATATTTGGCAGATTATCCAATTCACAAATTCACCTGCCAAACATGTATTACAGAGAATGCTGTCATTACTTCGCCACATTAGCATCACTACAAATGTTTTTTACTGGACTGTGGCTGATGTATTTATTTATCTAGGAATGTGTTTTTTCATTCTCTATTTGAGTGTTGGAAGTCTAGACTGGTGCGTCATAAATGTCTGGTTTGTCTTCTTTAAGGGTCCCTCTGGACCGATAGGTGCACCAGGACCCAGAGGAGAAGATGGAAATCCTGGACCCAGGGTGAGTGAACCTCTGAGGACCATTTTATTCAATATTTGTTTTAGCTATGTCTGTAACATACTACAATCATATTGATTTGAAGTATGGACATGTATATTTATTGATCATATTTAAAAAAATTGAAATGGTTTAAAATGATCAAATGCAGATAAAGAACAGAGACAAATTAACCACACATTGCAACTATTAACAATTTGTTTTGGTTTAATTAACTGAAAAAAAGGTGCACAGTATACCTTTATTTAGGAAAATGGTATGTATTTCAATGTTTTATTTTTCAGGGTCCCGGAGGTATCCCAGGTACGGCTGGAGAAAAGGGGAGAAGAGCAGCTCTTGGTCGCAAGGTATTGAGTGGAACATAATTGTATGGCTTATGCTCTCCCATCACCTGCTTGTTTCCTTTATAGATACGCTGGCCTAAGCCCAGCTCTCTTACAATCTCGGACACATATGAATAGTCTATTTCAGCCGGTATGAAAGCACTATAAGAAAACATCAAGGTTCTGCTTGAGATCTACTGCAAATATAACTTAATTAAATCCTTAGAAACTCTATCCTGACTGCTCAAAGATACATTTCCCTCTTAACTTGAAGCATTGACATTCACTCGTGTAATTATTTCTGTCTCTGTCTCATTGTCTGTATCTGCCTGTCTCTGTGCCTTTGTAGGGGGAGCCAGGAGACCCTGGACCTAAGGGTGGTGTTGGACCTCTTGGTCCCCGTGGAGAGTCTGTAAGAGTGCAGACACATCTTCTTGCATGCTCCATAATGTAAAATGGTGAAAGTTGGCCAGATAAGAACCATTCCTCATGATATCAGATAAACACAGTTTATCATGTTGTTTAGGGAAACAAATGTCCAAACAGCAGACAGTTATTAGATAATCTTTTGAATAACTACCACTGCCTCGCTGCCGTGTTTGCTTTAAAGCAAGGACCTCTATCTGAAAACGGCTCTGTTGGGTTTTTAATTAAGGAATTGGTGTTTTTGCTGGGACGGATCTTATTCCATGTGTTCTGTCTTTAATAAGTACTCTGACTTTGATTGCACGTTGGTCGAGCCTTTCTCTTCTCCTTCTTTGTTTCAAAGGGTGAAGACGGCAGAGACGGGTTTGGCGTTGCAGGTTCTCCAGGAAGAAAGGCAAGTACACTTTTATCTCTAATAATCGGAAGTAATGTATGGTAATAAAAACATGGTTTTGTCATCTTCAATAAAATGAGTGTTAAAATTGTATGTAGCCTCATATATCTAATGATTAGAAAAGGACAATGTGAGGTCAAGAATCCTTAAGCTAATACAGCAGACCTCGCTCTCACAACTAAAGGAAGAAGAATAAATGAAACAACTCAAAGGGAATACCTTACAAACAAAAACAAAAAGGATATATACATTTATTAAAAAAGGATACAAATAAATAAATGAATAAACAATTCTCAAAGTATGCATTTCCCTCCACAGGGTGATGAGGGCTTCCCAGGATTCTCAGGACAAAAGGTAATACACAACACTGAGTCCTGAGTAGAATCTCAGCAGAGCTTGTAGATTACAGGGTAACTCTGTTTCTCATTTCCATTCACTTCCCTTCCATCATTTCAGGCAGCAGCTGGTGACCCCGGCACAAAGGGCGGCCCTGGACCCATAGGCAATCTTGGCCAGAGGGTACGTTTGGAGATCCTTAGATTGATTAATTTGATAAAACATTGTAAATGTGTACGTATATATATACTGTATGGTGTCACTTAGCCTAAGCCCCCAGCATCACTGGACATGTTTGGTGTGATACAGTGGTCTGATACAGTGGAAAGCTTTATGCAGGCTTAGCTGTGAATGAGCTGCATGACCGTGCACATTAAAACAAGCTCTTTTTAAAACTACAAACGAATAGCTTTCATAATTTTTTCTTTACACTTGTCATTCTTTCCAGGGTGTCTCTGGGAATATAGGAACACCCGGACAGAAGGGAGAGGTCGGACATCCTGGGCCATATGTAAGCAACATGAAATGATTCCTTTTGAGGAACCTCTGTATGAATGACATGGTGCTACCGTAGAAACATTTCTGGAGTTATGATTTTTAGTATACGAACACTTTCTGAAAAGTTATGTTTTTGATGGAGTTAACATGTGATTCACATCACTCGAGCTCACCTAAATTGTTGCTCTTTACAAAATGTGTTATTATACGCAATGCAAAAAAATACTTTTTGTCATGGGCCACTGTTTTTTATTTTATTTTAATAGGGTCAGAAAGGACCGAGGGGACCAGGTGTTGTGGTATGTGCTTCTATATCACAGTTTGGAAACTGTATTTAATAAATAGCAAAACACATCTCTGGTGATCACTCTTTCAACGTGTTTCTCTTTTTTTCTCAGCAATGTGACCTGGTTAAGAAAATCAGAGAAAACTGCCGTGAGTAAAATTCTGAAATCAACAGTAATGTTATTACATGACAACCGTAAAAAATAAATGAATATACTCATGTGTTGTAGACTAAAAACAATATTTGTCCCCTATTTCCTACCAGCTTGCTGTTATGGTAAGTAAAACAAATAGGATGAATTAGTTCAAATATGTGCTTTATGCACTGTTACACAGAATCTAAATCTTCTACATGTACACCCACAGGTCAGCAGGAGTGCCCGCTCTACCCCACTGAGCTGGCCTTTGTCCTGGATATCTCCGTGGGCGTTGGCGACCCAGTCTTCAACAACATGCGTGACACAGTCCTGCGCCTGGTCCGGGACATCACCATCTCTGAGAGTAACTGTCCCAGAGGGGCTCGTGTGGCTGTCACCATGTACAACGATGAGGTGACCACTGAGGTCCGCTTTGCCGATGCAATGAAGAAACGTGCGCTGCTGCAGCACATCGAGGGGCTGCACACCCTGAAGACCCGAAAGCAGCGCAGCTTGGACACCGCCATGAGCTTTGTGGCCCAGAACACCTTCAAGAGAGTGCGCAGCGGCTTCCTCATGAGGAAGGTGGCCATCTTCTTCGTGGGCGGGGCCGTCGGCAAAGCGCAGGAGATTACTAATGCAGCTCTCCGCCTCCATGATGCTGGCATCTCCGCACTGTTCTTAGTCAACCGTGAGGACAAAGCTCTCGGCAGGGCACTGCAGGTAATACAGAGCAGAAACACAACAGATATCGCCTCAAATATAAAACCCATATCCAGAAACCTCGGTGTGATGATTGATAGTAACCTCTCTTTTAATCAGAAGTTTCTGTTTTGATCAGTTTCCTATCTTTTCAAAAATTAAGTCATCCACTTTTGCCTACTTTTATTTCATCACGTCTGGATTACTGTAACTCCTTATGTTCTAGATTAAGCCAAAAAGCAATATCCCTCCTTCAACTTGTTCAAAATGCAGCAGCAAGATCTTTTACAAATAAGGCTAGACCCCAACACCCCTATTTTATTCTGTCTTTACTGGTAACCTGTCTGTTTAAGAATTGGTTTTAGATTTGACTGATTTCATTTCATTTCATTTCAAGCCTTTATTTATCCAGGTTGTATCCCATTGAGATCATTGATCTCTTTTTCAAGGGAGACCTGCTCAAGTAGGTTCCACATGAAACATAAAAACATAAACAGAACAACAAAAAGGACATCATGCAGCATCATTACAGGGATTACAATTTACATAACTATCCACATGCACAGGTACCAACAGCATCCGATTCAGTAGCATCCAACCGAGCTTTAAAAACATTTAGTGGCACCAGATTGCTCAGTTTCCATTTCAATTGCAGACTATTCCAGGACAGTGGAGCTGCGCATCTAAATGCTATCTTCCCTAAGACAGTCCTAGCAGTTGGCACATTTAATAAAACCACAGCATGCGATCTCAGGCAGTAGCCACTTACAATTCGCTGTGAGATCAGGGAGCAGATGTAGGATGGAAGTTTCCCTAACATGGCTTTATATATAAAAATGTACCAGTGACTGAGCCTCCGTACAGTTAGTGAAGGCAGACCAGCCCTTGCATACAGGGTACAGTGATGGGTTAATGCTTTACAGTTTGTCACAAATCTCAGTGCACTGTGATACGCAGCATCTAACTTGACCATCAAATCACCATAGTCCAGCACAGGTAAAAAGGTCACAGTGACTAGCCTTTTTCTGGCCTCAAGCGAGAAACAGGACTTGTTCCTGTAAAAGAAACCTAGCCTAACCCTCCGTTTTTTAAGCAGGTTATTGACATGACGTTTAAAAGTGAAACAGTCATCAAGCCAGATACCAAGGTATTTGTAACAGGTAACCACTTCAAGTTTTATTCCTTGCGTAGTTACAATATCTAAAACAGGCTCTGGTGTCTTTTTAGCTTTTGAAAAGAGCATTACCTTGGTTTTATCAACATTTAAATGAAGCTTTAGTTCAGAGAGCTGAGTCTGAATAATGTTAAAAACAGCCTGTAATTTAACAACCGCCTCCTTAATGGAGGGACCTGCACAGTACATCACGGTATCGTCCGCATAAAAATGTAAAGTAGCTTCATCCACATTTTCACCTAAACTGTTGATATATATGGAGAATAAAAGTGGACCTAAAACAGAACCTTGAGGAACACCATTAGTAATGTTTAACCACTCAGAAGACAGCCCATCAAAGTAAGCACATTGGGACCTTTCAGAGAGGTAGTTCACAAACCACCCCACTGCATGGCTGGATATGCCAATACTGAGTAGCCTCTGCTTCAAGATGCGATGATCGACAGTGTCAAACGCTTTAGAAAGATCAATAAATAGAGCTGCACAACTCTGCTTTTTATCTAAAATACTCGCCACATCATTCACCACATTCATTGTCGCAGTGATGGTGCTATGTTTCTTTCTGAAGCCTGACTGATGTTTAGACAGGATGTCATTGTTACATAAAAACACCTTTACCCGTTCACTCACTAGGCGTTCAAGAACCTTAGCCAGAACTGACAATTTAGAGATGGGCCTATAGTTATTTAATAAAGTGGCCTCCCCACCTTTTAGTAGAGGCAGGACATACGCTGACATCCACAATTTTGGAATTGTGTTTGTGCTGAGGGAGAGGTTAAAAAGAGTAGTGAGAGGTGGAGCAATACAATCTGCAGCTATCTTTAAAAAGAAAGGTTACTTTTAAAGATCTAACAGTTTGGATCCTGATTACCTCCCTGACTTGTGTGCCCTTATGAGCCTGTGGCAGCCTCAGATCCTCGGGTAGGGCTCTTCTTTCTGGCTGTTCCCAAAACCACGCTAAAAACTAAGGGTGACCGAGCCTTTTACGTCAGAGCTCCGCAGCTCTGGAACTCCCTGTCCAAGAATCTGAGGCTGGCAGAATCAGGGACATCTTTTAAATCACTTCTTAAAACTAATCTCTTATTAAAGCCTTTTACTAATAATGCCATTACTCGGTTTTACTGTACATCCATGTTTTATTCGACTTTACTTTCTTTTTACATTTTTATTATTGTACTTAACATTGTATAGTTTGCAGGGTGGGGTGGGGTTAGTTGACCTCATGTTCTGTTGCCGCCTGAGCGACTTGTCCATGTAAAGCACTTTGTAACTTTGTTTTTAAAAGTAGGCTTACTGTATAAATATTAATAATAATTATTGTTATATGTCAAAGGGGAACTTTGCAGTACAGGCATATACATAAGCCCATTGACAGTGTCTCTACAGGAGAAACTGATGCAGTGAACTGTACTGTGCCTCTTGTTCTCCAGGTGAACAACACAGCCCTGGCTCAGGTCCTCGTGCTGCCTGGCCCTGGAAGTGCTCAGTACAATTCAGTCCTCCAGAAGGTGATGAACTGCCATGTCTGCTTCGGTAAGAGCTCCATGTTTGAACATTAATAATGTCACCACAGATTAGTTTTTGTTAATATTATATCTTAATATATTTTTCACATTTACACTGATTTATTTTCAAAAAATTGTCTTAAACATATTTGCATCTCATACAAAGGTTGTCCTGAAAAATATTCTGTTTCTGTTCATATAAGTCTTTGAGAAATTGGAAAACAATATCGTATGTTATATTGTATTATTTATCGCAGTAATGTTTCTGAAAAAAAAAGAAGTTGCGCCCTATGTTTGAACCTTGTGTAACGCCACCATTATACAAAATAATTCCATTGGTCTGACAGTACCAGAGTTTCCGTTAGAATGTCTTTTTGCTGGTCAACATGTCCGTTAAAGTTGAAATCTTCCGGACAAAATGAGAAAAGTGCCGGTCAAAGGTCTTCGTTGTTATTTATTGAGCTTTAAAACAAATTGATATGATTCGATATTAAACAAACTAATTATAGTAGATTAACTACATTATTCAAAAGTGTACAGTAACTTATAATAAACGGAGCGCTCTCTCTCTCTCCTGACAGCCCGCCAGTATCATGCAGCTCGCGGATCCAGTAATGAGTGACCCGACAGTAAAACTAAACATATCGATAACTAGTTTAGGTAGTTTGAGAGGTAATTAAAATAGCTAAGTGTGATGTTCTAACCTGAAGTGTGTGTGTTGCTCTGCTCACCGCTGCAGGTGATCATGCAGAGCTGCGTGTCGACTCGTCAGCAGCAGCTGATCTCTCTCTCCCGTCAGATTAGACTTCACTCGCGTGTATGTCCATATCGATCAGATCTAGCTAGTTCTAGCTAATGATATGACTACCTGCTTATCAAAAGACACCTAAACAATAAGCGTCGCTATGCAACCGGGTGAGGCCGCAAAGTATAGCGCAGCATTATGCATTTGTTTACATGCCCACCGGAACCCCGAGGCATTGCCAACAGATCAACGCACAATCAACCCATACAGGACATCTCTTTCTCCACATTAAGTGTAGACATTATAATTGACTATTCTTGTCTGTCACATACTCTTCTTGTCTGTCACATACTCTTCTTGTCTGTCACATACTATTCTTGTCTGTCACATAAGTGGCGCAACTGATGCAGTATTGTGCTAAGGGGAAATTATTTTGACCGGACATTTTGACCGGAGAGATTTAGATTTGCCGGTCTTCAGCATATTTTACCGGTCAAAGTCCGGTAATTACCGGCTAACGGAAACTCTGGACAGTACACTGGCTTAATGAGTACCTCCAATACAACTTTTGATGATTCGAAATACATCGCCTTCATTTAGTGACTAAAGTAACAATACATTTTATGGGGTTGCTTTTTTTTAGACTTCTGCTCTCCGGACCAGATGTGTGACTATGTGCCCCCGTCAGCTAGCCGAGACAGGAGGTCTTCAACCACCGACGAGGACATCGACATGGCTTTCGTCATGGACAGCTCGGAGACAACTTACCCAACTGTCTTTACTGAAATAAAACGCTACATCGCGTCCATCGTTGAGCAGCTCCAAGTGTCTTCAAATCCCACAACATCCGCTCACCACCCCAGAGTGTCTGTGATCCAGCAAGCCCCTTACGAGTTCCTCATCAACAAAACTGGCTCTCCAATCCGTGTTGACATCGGTTTGACCGAGTACAGCTCAGCTCAGGATATAGTCAAATTCCTGCTGGAGAAGACGCCACAGCTAGAGGGTGGCCGGGCGCTGGCGGCGGCTATTGAATCGACCGTGGAGCAGGTGTTTGAAGTGGCGCCTCTCCAACGTCCCAGGAAAGTGCTGCTGCTCTTTGTGACAGGAAGTGTGGAAGGAGAAGAGGAGCAGCTGGTGCGTATTGCCACTGAGATCAAGTGCAGAGGCTACTTCCTGGTGATCCTGGGTGTGGGCAAGACTCTGAGCGCTGGGGACGCTCGTGTATTGTCACGCATGGCCAGTGAGCCGTCAGATGTGTTCTTTAAGCGGCTGGACACCATCTCACAATTTTACGACAAACACATGCAGACCTTCGGCCAGCTGCTGCCAAAGTACATCAGCAGTAAGTCAAAGACCATTTATTTTATTTATGTTTTTGTTGTTGTTTCTTTTTGTCTAAATGCCATTAATTGATAGGTTAATCCAAGTCCCTGTGAGTGACACACCATGTTCTGCCTTATTCTTCTCTTTAGTTGAAAATGCTTTCTACATGTCCCCTGAAGTCTCCAAAAACTGCAAGTGGTTCCAGAGTGACCAGGCCCTGAAAAACCCCTTTTCTTCATCACACCAACAGGAGTTAGTATTGTAGTATTTTGTATTTATTTATAACTTGTTTCTGTTTTGGGACTTTGATGGTTTTATTCACGATTTATTGGTATATTCACAGGGAATATCACAAACATCATGAAAACCAACAGACAGTTCATCAAAGAAAGCACACTGGTAAGTTTGGATTCAACAAAATAACTGTTATTTTAAAGTTTAAAGTACTCTTTGATATGGACTGGTAAATACGGCTTTATTGACTTTGAATTCTGATTCTTTAAGCCTGGGGTGTCCAACTCAACTTCATTACGGGCTACATTAGCATTATGGTTGCACTCAAAAGGCCGGTTGTAACTTTAAGACTATATAAATATACATAAATATAATGTATTATATTACATTATTGGCTCTGCATTGGATTATTATCAGTTCTGGTAATAACTCCATAAATAACTATGTCTGAAAGAAGAAGTCTAGGGCAAATAATTGAAAGCAAATATTGAACAATTACGCCAATTGTAGTGTATATTATATTCCTTGCAAGCTCTTGCGGGCCACATAAAATGAGGTCCAAAAATCCGGCCAAAGGCCCAATCCGGCCCGCGGGCCTTGAGTTTGACACCCCTGCGTTTAAGCAATGCATAGCTAACAGCTAATAGTAGCTGCGGATACATTTCCCCATAGCCAAGAGCCATACTGAAGTGAGTATTCCCCCCTTCAGAGTCAGATGAGCTCCACGTCTCTAACGTGACCTCCAGCAGCCTCAAGCTGCGTTGGACCAACCCGGACTCCAAGCTCTTTGTGTACTTCGAGGTGATGGTGACCCGGCTGCACGACCACGCCCTGGTGCTGAAGACCAACGTGTCGGGCACAGAGCTCTCCGTGGACAACCTGCAGAGCGCTCAGACATACCACGCTGTGGTCACCGCCCACACTGCAGAGGGACAGGCCGTCTCCACCCGCAAAGGCATCATGACTACGAGTAGGTCCTTAAACACATCTACACAAATGAGTCGTACGTTTTTTATCCCACAAGATGATGTCTTATTAAAAAAACATTAAGGAATATTTCCTACGCCTCATCACCCACAACATTGAAACCTTATCAATTCCACCAGATATGAACATTTCTGGGTGGGGAAGACAAAGAAAGTACAGCAAGAAACAGCAATGACTTAAGTGGTGCTGGATTATATACAAGATTTTATAATAATATATAATTGTATTTTAAACATTATATCAATTATTCCTATTTAAAATTATCCATGTTAACTTAAATATTAATGTATTGCAATACCCTTACTTTGACCCTTACTTTGCAGTCTTTTTGGACATTTTTAAACACCTTGGTCTTTTTTTCTTCGTGTTATAGTTGTTAAACTAAAGCCAAGCCAAATGAAACTGAATACATCTTCCCTTTGACAGAAGCAGCAGAGCATAAGCCATCCAGCCGGAGCAGCAGCCCTGTGAACACTACACCGCTGGACAGACCACAAACTGGTGAGTGACTGCACATGCACACACATGCATATGTGCCCATGTTTTCTGCTTTTACCTGTACTATGTTTTTTTAAACTTGCATGAAATGTTAATAAGCTGGAAGAAATTCACTCTTTGATCTTCCATTCAGTATGTACAGCAATATTTAAAATGAAATACTACACAAATGTGCCAAAAAATGTAAAGTCCAACAATAGAATGTGGTTCATTCAGGAAAACGTAGAAAACCTACCGCTCAAACTAGTGGTCTTGGTTGCTTGAAGTTGCATTGTACGAAATCAACTTCTTGTTGGTAAGACAGTAGAAGCAGGGAAACATATTTAGAGCCCATATATTTGTCCGAGGAGTAAAGCTTTGCAGCTGCTGCTTCTTGGAAGGCACAAACTAAAGGCATTCCTGCTGTAATACATGAGGACATCTAAAGTGACTGTAACAGGAGAGTCTGAGGAGATAAGCTTCTCTACCTGCCCTGCAATCATTCATTTAGCATGCTAAATGCTGCCTTTATTATTTGTATTCAGTGATGGCTGTACTCTGATAAGCCAGTGTGTGTCAGGAAGGAGTGAAGCATAGGGCAAACACTCAAAAGAAAACACATGTCAAGGCAAGGCAAACCTGAACAGAACCTCCCGATGTACGACAAACACACACAAGGATCCGACAGAACTGAATAGAAATGAAGGCAAGCTGACATGAAAAAACAGGACAGGGCAAACAATCCCAACAGGTGGGAAAACACAAATACAGGAAGTAAAAACAGACAAAACACGGGGAGAAAACTTTTCAAAATAAAACAGGAAACCCAAAAACCATGATCATGACTGTGTGAGCAAGAACATGATTTTACTAGCAAAGTTTACACAATGCTGTCCCAGAAATGAATTAACAGACGATGCAGCCAAGACTCCAGAGAATGTTCCTAGTTATCTGCGATGAAGAATTTATATTTATTTAATGGGTTTGACTCCTGGTATTGGTAACATGCTGGTAACCTGAACCACACAGCTTAAAGATCTTGGATGACTAAAATAACTAACGAAACAGTAGCTGTAGTTATAACTAACTGTGAGATTCACCAATAAACCTGCACCTAAACCTCTTTCTTTCTACTGAATGCTTTCTTATTTTCAAATGCCCAAACTCCTAATAATGCCAGTAGCCCTTGAAAGATATTATGGCATGTTGTATTCCATTTCCTTTGCCCTAGGAGAATGAACCATATCAATTCTAAGATTCATTTGACCCCATTAGAGCTAAAAACCCTTATTAATATGATTGTATCCATAACCAGCATCTTCTTTAACAGCACACAGTACATGCTGTATGTTTAATATATACTTCATTAAATATTAACACAAACTCATCTTCTCTCTCTGTCTGTCGTCTATCACTGCTCTTGTCTTTTTTCTTTATGCATGTTCTAGTTAATGAATTTGCAGACCAATGCTCACTTGACTATGACCCTGGAATGCCGTGCAAAGACTATCAGGCTAAGTGGTTCTTTGACAGAAAGAACGGGATCTGTACACAGTTCTGGTATGGAGGTTGTGGAGGCAATGACAATAGGTTCGACACTGAGGCCCTCTGCTTGAAAAACTGCATGAGGTCAGGTAAGTGTTTGTCAGGGCTGGGCCCTCTGAGGGAATGTACTGTTGGGTTGGCCTGATACAACACAGCACAAAACCAAATCCAGATACACAACCTGCAGGTAAAGACCTGCAGGTTGTGTATCAAACAAAGGTTTGCTAAACCTTGCTCCAGAACAACTGTAGTCCAGTCACAGCTGAGCACACCAGGCCATGGATTTCCCCACAAAATGCAATGGTGTGCAAATTAGTCTCTAAAAAGGAGGGTACTGGTTATTTAAAGGGTGGTTTCTTTTTTTAAGCATCACTTTTAGAGCAAACAGATGAACAAATGTGAAGGATAGATGAAACAGTTTTTTTATCTGCTCAAATGTAAGCTGTGAATGGCCTGCTAGTTGGTTAACTACAGCAGTAACCTCCAGAGTCAAGGGATATGTCATGTAACTCTATATGTTCCTTCAGAATAAAGAAAAATGTGTTTTGGGTTCAAGCCTAGTTGCTGGTATATCAGGTTGCAAGGCTTTGTCCTGCTCTTTATTTAGCTTGTGGACGTTCACAGTTCACATATTCAAGACACTTTGCTGTGTTTGCCTTAGTTAAAAAAATGACTGGAAGCAGCGTTTCCAACCAACTCACACACATGCAGTGCGAGAATTAGAAGCTTGACGGGCGTAGACACTCTAATTAAGTGGGCAAGGCTTGGCAAACCATTCATTTATTCCATGATATTTATAGAAGCTGAAGTTTACTGTTATTCCTGTGAATTCTCTTTTAACATGTCAATGATCCCATGATAGGTGTACTGGAAGGGTTCTGCTAATGTGCCTTACAGACAATGATGATTGAATAGTAAATGTCTGTTGTAATTCATATCTGTATATCACCACATCCTGATAGTTTTCCAGCAGCTGGTGAACATCTGTCTCTTTCAGCTGAAACCACATCTAACTGTTATGTTTCCACAGTGCCAGAGCCGGAGCCACGCGTGCAGCAGGTTGAACAGGTGGAGGTCCTCCTGGATCCTGGTGAGATCTCATATACATTCACCACTGAGTATCTCTCTGCACAGTATTATGTTACTGTTCCTTCCCCTCTAACTCTTTATTTTTTAAGACATAGCTGACTTTGATGTGGCTGCACATATATGCTAGTTAGCCAATAGAGACGAAAAAGCACTTCCTTCCTGGTAGAGTATAAAAACAAGCGAATCACATCCTCAAAACTTGATATGAATTTTCAGACCAACCCTAATGTTATGCATTTTTCTCAAAAAGATATGCATCACTGTATAATTCAATTTCCACAAAACTTTGCTAAACAATAATTCCTTTGTATTGAACTGGAAACTAACCCACCTCCTCCACTGCTTCTCTGTTGCTCTAAATGACGGAAACAAGTCAAAGCCAAGCTTGGAGCCAAGCTTGGATCTGAGAAGGTTATGCTTTTGTCACAGGAGCAAGCCAAGTCCTGACCACAGAGAAAATGAATGGAAAGCCTTGTTCACTGCTTCATTGTTTTTCTGGCAGTAGTCCTCCCAGAAGACAAGTTCAATTTGTCAGTACGGTTAGACGTTGCCGTAAATTGGACTGAAAGACTTAGTCTAAACGCAATTGGCTCTATCTCAATTGATTATGGAATAATGAAAATCTGCAGTGATTAAAGTGCTTTCATGCTTTCCTTGCAACATTGCAGCATTATGCTTATTTCCATTGGGCAATCCTCTACGTGACGTTCCACTAGACATTACGTTTATTAAGTTATTTAGTGAGCAGTTAGTTAAAGCATGCAGCCCTGCCAGTGATATGTGTCGTTGTAGTTGCGTTGTGTTTTGATACTCTCCATGATCTTCTTTGTCACTCCCCTCCCAGCCGTCTCTACAGCTGTGGACATTTGCCAGCTTTCCAAAGAGGAAGGAACTTGTGCCAAGTTTGTCCTGAAGTGGCACTTCGATGCCAACAGTAAGAGCTGCACGCGCTTCTGGTATGGAGGCTGTGGTGGGAACCAGAATCGCTTCGACACGCATCAGGAGTGTGTGAACGCTTGTGGAAAACCAGGTACATGTTCTGTTCATAATAATCATCTTCCAGTATCCCTGATCAGCTTTGATCAAGTTACTGCCCCATGAAGAGAACATCTTGAAATGGCACTAAACTCCACTGGGAAAAAAGTAATTTTACTCAGTACACATGAGTTGGTGGTCCAACGCTGCCTTCATCGGTTACTAGCCAATCATAAGGTAGTTCTGCTGTCACCAAATTAGGAAACAAAAATGTGTGAAGTTCCGATGATGTCATCACACATGTGCTTCAGTTTGTTGCAGGGAGTTGTGCATTCGGAATAATGGGGGGGTTTTGTTGGGATCACACCTGTTGGACAATGAGATTTTTTTCCCATGGCATAATGTTCAGACTACTGGTGTTTTGGATTAATGGGCTTTCAGAACAATAAGAAGTCCCCATATAAACAAATACATGTTATTTTCTTCATTAAATGGCTAACCATGTTTCTCCTTTCATTCATTATCAGCACCCCTCAAACAAGGAGTCCTCGCTGCGATGAGAACATAGGACACAGC